AGCAACATCTAATATTGTATTAATTTGTATTAATGAAACACTCTTTATAAATATGGCACGAGACTTTGGTCTCGGTTGCCGGCGTGGCGTTTACGAATGTAAACAACGTGTCACTGAGATTTCTCGGAATGCGCTGTAATCGCTTTGTTATTTTCTCGCGCTGCTCCGAGTTTTTAATTTATTAATAGCGACCCGGGTGATAACTGCACGTTTTGATCCTTTAGACGTCTCATCGTGTTATATAAACACTAGTCAGTACCAAACGCGGGGAATTCCAAATACATAATAACAATATCTATATAAATAACATAATTGCTAACTTTCTCTTAATTCATTTAGAAAGAAATTGATTCAAATGATGCATCGATTGCTTTTAGATGTAACGGATGTTTGACGATCACGGATTTATACACCGATGTCGTTTTGCATGCGGTTTGCGGTTAAGTTAGTGCAGAAACACATCGATTAGAAAATTTAACTCGCGGATGGCTAAACCGGATCTTGAATATTGTACGCAATCGAGTCCTGTTGACTGACTCTTTACCGTCGCTGCCACAATCGTAAATTTAGCGTTGAACTTTTCTGAAAGTATTAGTGATTTCTGTCGTGTGCACACTTGCAGTATGCGAATTTCAGTGCGCGGCGAGCTTTCAGTTAGAAACAAATATGTAAGTTGTGAGTTAGTGCGCGAGCGGCACTATTGCAACGCACGTTCGAGTGCTGGTGCATGAAATGCACCAACGTCAATAAGGACTGATTGTGTTCGGCGGTGTCTAAATCAAACAAAAGTCTAAATATGCGGGAAAATCAATATATGGCAAGTTGTGAACTGATCAGAAAGTTCAAATTTGGTCAAATAAAAAATATTTAAATCAAAATAATAAAAAAATAATTTTAAGATTCGTTGTCTTTTTATTCCTGGAATTTAATGTGCATTCCGGATTGAAATTGAAATGTAGAACGGATGAATGGTATCGCTCAACTATTACGTCAATACGCGTCAATTAAATTTAACTCGAGCTAATCATAAACAGACATATTTCTGGCGCTCTATTTCATTTAGTTTTCTATTGGACACTTCAAAATATAAATCATGAAATTCCCTATTTCATTTTTATTTTCTTCAAATTATTGTTTATTCTATACTTGACACAAATAATGCAACTTCAATGCCTTAATTTTTCTTTTGTCTCAATTCTTGGAAAATAATCAACTGACGCCGCTAAATTGAGCGCGAATAATGAGCAGCGCTAATTATCTCTGCGCCTTTCAATGAACAACGATTCGACTGATACACACGATTGCTTTTATTTTATTTTTCTCGTATTGGCGTTTTGGGTCGTCGGCATTCGCCGTAGTCGTAATTAAATTAAACGCGGCGCGAGTGCCACGCACGTACACGATTTTTATCGACTTTCTTGTAATTTGCCACTTTGATGAACACATTACTTGTGTTTTAATCATACGGGCTAATGGCGCGATGGTGCGTACCGGCATGATGCCGCGAGTGCTGCGCCGACATTACTCTCAAAGAGTCGGCGGAAAAAGTTTGAAGTTCATTAGCACTAAGTGAGCGTAACTAGTGGCAAGCTAATTGAACTGAACTCAAAGAGTGCTTTAATTGATGCGGAACGTGAAACACACGTATTGTGTCATCGAAACCACAAAAAAATCTTCATCTCTTATTGAACTCTTTCATGTAAGAGCATATTCTTCAAATGGTTCTTAACAATTAAGTGTTGCCTATTATTTGTTTAGTACTTCAGTACATTTAATAGGTGTTAATATTATGTAATATTATCATAGTCAGTTGATACTCGCATTTCATATTTACTTCTTGCGCCACAAATGCAGGTCTGCGCGCTGGACTTACGTAACTGGAAATTCATCGCGCTATGCGTAATGAGCGTAATGGTTGTAATGCCCGTAATGAATGAAGCGTTCGCGCAACCGTAACCGTTTTTCATTCTTTTTCTCTCTTCGGCTTCTCGAATTCTTTGCTCGCCTTTCGGTTGTGTGACGCGCCACGTCGTGATGAATGAATGCTCGCGCTCGCCACCATGCGAACTGTTGGTACGCAATACGCAACAATGAACGAATACGCACAAAACGCACCGATTACGAACCATAAGCACACAATTAATTGCTTGCTAATTTACTTTTGCACATAATAAAAAGAATTATCTCAATCTTATTCAAGTTATAAACTAAATATTTCGTAACAAGCGGCACGTAAAATTGTATTAAACTGAAATAATATTAGTTTAAGAAAATCTAGTTTACAATATTAAATATAGGATGTTCTACATAGAAATCCTACGCCGAATGCGAGTTATGATAATAACTGATATCACTGGCGGCTTAAATGCGGAACAAGGATATACACATCCATCCATCTGTGCTACTGATGAATGAAATGTGTGAATGTGTTATGTTATCATCCGACAGTATTCAGCATTTGCTGAGTTTAATTTTGTACTTAATTGTCATTCATGAACAGCAACGACAAACACCGACGCATACGGTCACATGTGTTATCACAGCGTAGTCTTATCATTTTTATTTATATAATTTATTAAACAATTTTGTATTCAACTACTATAGTTGTACGTTGTTTTGAATCATTTGCATTTAATGTGTTTATTATTTTAATATTACCTACGTGTAATTGTCTTCTTGTCTTATTACTACTCAATTCTGATCTACAATCTGTTTCTTTATTATTTTGTTGTTGTTTGTTCTCGCGTGGCATTACGGCGGGCGTGTGCGTAAATTAAAAGCGGCGAATTTCGTAATGATGTGAAGTTAATTTCTAATTTTCCCTCTTCGCTTGGCGGAGTGTGAGAAGTGAAGTCGAAACATCTCGAAACCAAAACAACGTGTAAGAGTGTTAAAGAAACAGCGTGATATTAGAATAAACTAGAGTTGGGAGCATAGACGAGAACAAAATTATAGAGCAACGCTAGTAATGATACCAAAGTTCTTAGCATGAATGCATTCCGTAATGAACGCAGAAATTGTTTGAGGTAGACAACAGACAAGTGAACGAAAATTAGACGCTTTTAACTGGAAACTTAACTTAACTAGAGTTGAAAACAATGGAAAGCAATTTTGATACACATTAGTGCCTAAAAATACAACTCCAGACAAATTGTAGCACTAAAGTGTGAAAATATGTTTCTTGAGATCATTATTAACAATGTCATTAGTTCAATATTTAATGAACTTTCTTGGAGTTATGCTGCAATGATACTTTGTGTGTCCATAAATGAAGTTTTCATAGTTTCAAAGTAAACTAGTAAACATGTCAAGAGATCGTACAAACCAAAGTTTATATTGGACACTAAAACTAGTGCTTTAAAGGCATGTGAATCAAACAACCTTTCGGATTATACGACGACCTAGCGAATGAGAGTAACGAGAGGTAATTCTTTGGATAGTTTTAACTAAGGATAACAAGCTCAGAAACGACAGACCAATCAAAAAGTTCATTCATTCTTTCAATTCATTTGTTTGAAGTTTCGTGGGAAATGACATTTTAGATATGAAATTTATTACAACCTTGACGCGAAAAAATGACGTCTGTGTAACAAAGGACTAATTCTGCGTACAAAAGTCGGCATATTTGATTGATTGCTTAAATTTTAAAATTGTTAAACTTTCTATGACCTTAAATTATAAATTGCTTTGAAAACTTTTCGGTTTTCTTACACGAGAATGTCCATTTTGCAACTTTGAGTTTACGAAATTTTTTTGTGCTATTCAATCTCTTTCGCAGTAATAATCTAATGATGTTGTTATTGTTATATTTTCAATCTTTAAATGTTGGTGGATTTTGTGCGGTGGAACGTCGTGATTCGCTATTCGTTAATGCGAAACTTAATTTGTGTGTGTATTAAAGCCGCGCCGCAGTCGAAAAACCCAGTTACATAAAAATAAATTTCTCTTTTTAACGATCCGAACGAAATCCCGACGAGCACAGCAACAAGTCGCGCGCGCGGCTCGCGCAACGCTGGCCATCAATCTTGCACTAATTGCGCGCAAGTAAATTTCCAGCGAATTTCGACTCGATTTCCAGTCCAATCAAAGTGCGTAAACGACGCTTGAATTATATGCTTCGCAGTGATATCAAACGCTAATTATAAGCGACTTGAATGAAACGCACCCAAATCAACGCTAATTACACTGATTATTTGCTTCTGGTATAAATTTATTTTAGAACAACAACTAAAACTTGATTTTAGTCATTATAAACATTTGCGTGAGGATGTCGCCCAGACTTTTAATTAAATTTTTAATATTTTTGCGTAGTTCTAATGTTTTAAACGTTTAGCTATTATGTGATGCGCCGTCGGAAAAACCAGGCTCATTTGTACAAAACAGAGATTTCATTATGCTCACTGAATATGCACGATGTCCACGCAGACGGACGCGGGTCGCAAACATGAGAGCACGACTCGTCGTCGGCTTCAGTTCAGTTCAATGTCATCGCCGTGGACAGACGACATAAACAGCGACACTCGTACTCGTCTTGCTCAAAAATTAAGCACTGGGTGACAAAAACCTAAAGTTACTCGTAAACTTGAAAAAATATGCAATATGATTCAATATAAAAAGTCTAAAATGTTTCAAGTCGCTCGAGAGCACATTTGACATCATGCAAAGCACGTCACAGACTTTGTTTAACCAGCGGAATTGAATTATAAATTATGTTACGAATCATCGCGTCATCTTGGCTTGCTTCAAATGTTAAATACAACTAAATTATCTTTGTCGTTTGCATCCAGTTGGTATTAGTGAATTTGACATTTATAACGCATTGTTTTATTTGTTGGAAGTTTTGGTTACGAGTACGGATTGTGAATACCCTTGAACTTTTAATTAAAAGTGAGTGACTATCGATTGAATAAATACAACTTAATTCTATCTTGGTATATGATATGGAAAGTTATAGTTCACGCCAGCAAAACGTGAATTCATTGTATCAATTTCTAATTTAGGTCTTGGTAGAGTGCCGCCTCTCTTCTCATCTGGATATAGACACACAGCTCCTATCGGCGTAATAAAATTATCATAGTGTTTGATGTGGGCGACGACGCGCCCCACGCCGCCATCAGAGTGTCGTGTCCGTCGCGTCCTTTGAGTGCTGAGTGCGCGTCTGGGGGGCGGGGAAAGCAGGGGAGGAGGAGGCGGTGATCCGCCTGAGCAAAAGTGTCGCGGCGTAGGGGCTCACGACGCGGCGGCAGCGGCGGCATGGTCGCCAGCCAGACCGTCGACAATGACATGTACGCGATGCACACGTCGCCCTACCACGTGCCCCATCATCACCACCACCACCATCTGCACGCGCACCATGGGGAGTATTACCCGGCCGGCGCGGAGCCGACGGGCGGCGGCGGCAATGGCGGCGCGCCATACTATAGCGTGCCACCGGAGCTCGGCCGGCCGCCCCACATGTGCACCGTGCATGGAGGCGACTACGGTATGTTGAACTGTGAAGGCACAAAAAAAATAAGTCTTAAGACGCCAGGGAAATACATGAAAATGTACTTAGGGGTTGCTCACTTGTACTTCTATTTTCATTAGTGAGTACAATTGGTTCGGTATTGTTTTGTTGGAATTTCTTTAATTAATTTTCCAGACATACATTACTATAGAGAATTGTGTCTGTCGGTAAGGTAGAGCTCCAATTTACTATTTTTCAATTTTTATCCGCATTGTAAACTTCTTTCGTAAATAATAATTGTGGGAAAGCCCAATCAAGCTGACGCTCTACTTGAAGCTGATCTCCCAACGAGCAAAGTTCATTTCCGAACGGTTGGAAGCAATTTCCGCGTCATTGCAATGCACGAACGTAACCTGCTTTGGCGGCGACATTTCGCCAAGAAATGTAAAGCTCTCGTCCCAGCACACTGATCCGTGTGCGCGAGTAGAAGTAAAAGTTGGTAATTATTATTAAAAGTAAAAGTAAAGTTGCGGCGGGCCGCGAGTAAAAGGTGTTTAATTAAATTTCGCAAAATAGACGATGACGACGCGGGAAAATGTGAGGAAGAGGAAAATGTTGCATTCGACATACACAACACCACGATGCAACGCGCGGCGCGCCCGGCCTGACATGGCCTGACGGGAGTATTAAATAACCAGGAAAAGAAAGAAGCCGCAGACGAAGTGAAGTGAAGTGGATAACAATGAACCAGAAGCGTAATAATTAAATATCGAATGCAATGCGCCGCGCGCCAGCCTAGGAAGTGAGCGAAATGTTAGCTGGCGCATAATTGAAAACGAAACGGTATTCTAATACCTGCTATCGCGGCGCGAAGAAGACAAAGGAATGCGAAACACATGTTGTGCTAATTGTCTACCCGAGAGATAAATTACAGGAAAACACAATTTTATTGTTCAAGAACAAGGAAAGAAACTTGAAAAAGAAAAAAGATTAAAATTCTTCACGTTTTTTATAAAGTAAATATGTTGGTACTTACTTTAAGAACAAGTTATATCTTTTAACATTAAGTTGCTGCCACGAAATCAGCCATTTAGAATGTCTTCGTCTGTTGCTTTGCCAGCTATACATTGCTTTCGACAATTTCGTCTTAAATGTCAATGTCAAATTCATCAAATTGCGGTTTCGCACGAAATTGCCTGAGCGGAAATTTACTCTGGTTCACATTTATTATTTCCATTCCGGAGTTTATTTATTTCGTAAATAGTTTTATGGAAAAATCAATTTCTTATTTATTTTCATTTTTGGCGTATTTCTCATCGATCTCACCAGCATATTTAGTTTTAGAAACTAGTTTATAGTCATTTTGTTGCAGTATAATAACGTGCTTTAAAATTGTCCGCATGTCATGGTTTGAAACGCATGAAATTGTTGAAAATAGTTTAATAGCGAACTTTTTTCGCAGCGAAAATTCGCGCTTGTTTTTCTCTAGGCGATGTTTGTATTTTTAGCGGCGGCAGTTCCGTCTGCTCTACTTTTAGAAAATTGTAAATTTAGAAACTATGCAATGCGGACGCCCGGCAACGACCTGCCCATTGTGTTTGGTTTGTTGGATTATAATTGTAAATTGTACGCTCGCGCACACATTTTCAACGTACTTTCATCGGCGCCGCCCAGGTGTATAATTAAAGTATTCACAGTTTCGAGTGGCGTAGTATAATTTTACAATACTTTTCCTTTTTTTTCTATTCATATTTAAATTGAGTTTTGTAGTAGTTGCATATTAAACAATTTGTAGTATTTAGGTGAGCTCTATTAAACTAAATTCTCGGTAGTGAGGCTTATATTTTGCGCCATATTCAGGTGTCAATTTTATTGATTTTGTCTCTTCTGCGTCGGATTTTCATACAACAGTTATTAACATTTAACGAGCTTTGATATTGGTAGTTGATTGCAGCAGAAAATTTGATTAAAGTAGTTTTACGTTCATAGTTGACCCGTGATGGAAATATTGCATTCGATGCGGGAAATGTTAATGCGCACTTTTGAAATTAGGCCAGTTTTAATGTCAAAGCGCATAGAGCTTGAATCGATTTGAATGCAGGCGCGAACAACACCTAAACCTTCACCCACACCGAAAATCCAATGAGTTTGTGTTAATTATTGCGGTGTTTTCGAGCAGTTTACTATTACATTAACCATCGTCGATGCAGTGGAGGGTATGCAGTTTTAAATTCACTTGCACAGTCTATTTTTAAGTTTATTACACTAACAAATATGAATGGAAAATATGGTTAAATCGTATTATCGAAGTACGCTCAAAATAAAATTATCCACTTTGTAACAAAATTTATGATTATTGTCGGCAACAAATTGCAAATATTCGCGCATTACACTTAAAGTAGTGTTTGGAAACTTGTTAAAACGTCGCGTTTGCTACAACATTGTTGCAAACATCTTCGGCTGAGGTGGCGAGTAAATTTGCATATTATAACGATTGTCTGTGGCCGCGTGTGACCCGTCTGTTTGGTGACTTCATAAGTGACCAAACGACAAGTGGCAACTTTCAACTTCGACCAACTAACAGGATACACAAGTCCAAAGTTGCCAGACGCGAAACCCCCGAAGTCACTAAATCATTTCTTGGTCCCCAACTCTAGCCTCAAAGACAAAGTTTGACGCAAGTTTGGTTTTGGATCAAGTTGGATACGCTGCTTTATTCAAGCTTAAGGTAGCTCATGTCGTTGTGAGTTGAGTTGACTTAAGTAAAATCGGAATGAGCATGCGTTGTGAGCTCGCGCGCGTCGAGCTGCGACTAATAAGCTGAAGGTCACCATCCGGTGCGGAGGACAACGGCATCGCGCGTCAAGGCCGTTCGACGACGACCGCGGACGGACGCATGGTATCTGCGTATGAGTATCTTCTCGTGCTTGGCCAATAAAACGCACTTGAGAAGCGCAGAAATGAAAAGAAACCCAATTGGATGTATCTGTATGTGTGTGTAGTGTGTAACTTGTGGGGTCTTTGGGTTTGGTCACCTGCAAATTTTTCCAATGTGTCATACGTAGACTCCTGTATATATTATAGAGCGAGTACTAAATCAAGTATACCAGCAATAAGAATATTTTATTAAAACACATTTGTATATGATATGGCCGCATATTACTTGTTTGATCTTCAAGCCTTTGTCATGAACATCAAATAAATATCAAACCTACTTACTATCCTGCCTTACAACAATCAAGCTCATATATAGTTTATATATCTGCGTGGACTCTTGAGGTTTGATAGCATATAAATATTTGAATTTTATATTATAAATATTCGTTTTGATATCTCTTGCTGGCTGATCATTAGTCGCCATCGGGCGGTCTCTTTTTGAGCGTTTCCGAGAAATCCTGTATTGCTCCAAGTCTCTTATATGTCGCCCGTTTGTTCGTTTAGACTTGTGGCTTAAGTCAGCTCTTGGCTTGACTGGTCTTGACTTAAGTCGTATATCAACGGTCATTTTGCATTTGCATTAGCTGTATTCGCAGTGTAGTAGTGTTCACGTGGTGAATGTGGCGACCGCCCGCCTCGGCGTGATTCATGCGACCAATGTTCAAATTTTACGCGTGGCACTTAAGCAACTTGACTTACTTATTAAAGATACCTGCTTATTGAAGATGACATCAATCAATTTACATCTTGATTGCTGATGCTTTTTTTGTTGCTAGATATATTCTAACTAGATTTAAAGAAATCTAATTTTATTATTTACTCAAGTGATTTGAAACACCTTGTAAGTTGTAAGAATAAGCATTCTTCTATTCATGCAACGAGGTGTGTGAGGAATAACAATTAACGAACGCTGGTAAATCCCGTTATTATTGTTTTACAATTGAAATTGAGCACGTTAGCTACGAGAATTTATCATGCTTTATAAAAATATTTGCTAAATGACTGAGAAGCAAGTTAAGTTAAAGTTTCGGATAAATAACGATGTTTGTCTGTGGTGTAAACGATGTTTTGTGAATTGATTCGATAAATAAACAATTGTTTGTGTTCGTTTATTCTAGGACCAGTGACGGTACCGATGGTGTCGACGAACTCGTCGCCGCCGATCGCGATGCCCGTCCAGGTGCCGCCCGGCCATATCGTGCAGCAGATCGTCGACGAGAGCGGCACTCTGCGGCACGTCATCCTCTCGCCGCAGCATCCCGCCCTCGTGCCGCTCACCTCGCACAATCCGCCACATTACGTAAGTTAATTTTATATATTTAATCATTAAAACCCCTAAAAAACTCCATTTTGATAGTTTATAATATAACACTAGCGCCATCTAGGTACCTAAAGACATACTTAACATATTTTATAAATTCATCGTCGGCGATCTATTGAAAGTGCGCCAAAGTTAGAAACTTGTCGAATAGAAATTTACTTAAACTCTTAAATTTCTAAGTGATTTCTTTCAAGTTTAAGTTCCATCCAAGTTGATGAGTTTACAATGGAATCGCTGAACCGTGCGAGGATATCTCTTTGCGTCCGAATTTTTTATTCTCGGAAAGTTCCATTCCACTCTCGTATCTGCTGCGTTCCGGTGCCGGTAACAGCCGGTAAATGTCGGCAAACTGGGATAATAATCGCGCGATATCAACTCTCGCTTCTCGGTTCTCCATTCTTGAATGACGGCGCAGACGACTTAAAAAACAACCGCAACGTTTAGATGTAGGTGGTATAGTTTTCTGTGTGTATGAGTATGTCGAAATCTTTTCCGAATCGCAGATCACGGATTGTGAATCGTCTTTTGAAATCGCGAACCGCGAACGCGCGGTACCTCTCTAATTCTCTGGAGTGTGGTGTTTGTTAAACCCGACTCGCCTGAGCACCTCGCTATCATTTTGTTCTGGTTTGTGCTGGCAGATTTAAGTTGGGTCGATCTTAAATTTGAACTCAAATGGGGCCTGCGTTGGGTGACATTGAAAGTTTTTAGTTTGTGGAAACTCTAAATAGAAAAGATGTATCACTTGATTTTAAGCTTTTAGCACTTAGCATGTAACTAGGAAAACAAATACACCGTGTAAAAATACACATAACGTGATGATTATAGCCGGAAAAATTAAAAGCTTGCGCAAACATTTTTAATTTTAAATTTATGTTAATTTTACGCTAGTTTAGAATTTTAAAGTGAACAGTTCGGTGTTTTTTAAGCTTCCGGGAAGAAAAAAATGAGTCATAGACTAGTTTAAGTTGACATGGGTCAACAATGTTCACATTCCAAACGGTGGTCAGAAAGAACTGTCTTTCAAGGTGTTTTGCGTCACGCTTCAAATATTTTGGTAACATCCGGAATTTAAAATCGCATTTCAAGTACACTATGTGTCCCTCGCCGTAATTTTCTACACTTTTCTTCGTATTATTATTTTTCTGCATATTGGAGAATCTCATGAAGTACTGGAATCGTCTTCGTTGTCGACGGTTGTCGTTCGTTTTTTTGCATTCGGGTGCGATTTGCATATAGATGAATTCTCTTTCCCGGCTTGGCGGCCGCTTTGACTTTCTGCAAGGGTCTGTGCGCGCTTGTGTGTGGTTGGCATTCCTGGCTGTCGACGGCGGCCATTCACCATTATGTCAATTTCAATGCCGCCGTTGTCTCTCGCGCTGAATATAATAACGGCGAACATCTTGGACTAATGCGAATGTGCCAATGCGCGACGCTCACAGCGAAATATCTTCCGGAGGGTTTCAGTCAGCTGAAGCTAGTTGCCATGACATGCTATAAATTGTGTCCTGCCATGTTTAGTTAAGCATACTAATCATGATGACGGCTGTGGTTACCCATATTTCCAACTTTGTCAATGAACTGTTAAGAAATCCATAACTTTTCTTGTGTTTTTCTTTATTTTTGATTTTTGTATTTTGTTGGTTGCCTGCCATCATTAAGGAATTGCTCAAATTTGCCCAAATTTAGATTCCTTTTTGGTTGATATCTATTTGATATTATTGAACAAATGATCGTGCTCGGTTCAGAGTCGGTGTGTACCAAAGCAATGCTGAAGCTCTCACAATCCGACAAACCGAACCGAACCGCACCGAGAAAGTCAGACATCGGGGAGGTGATTGACCAGGCGCATTATTGCCGCGAGGCACGACTCGCGCGCTCGCGAGAGCAAAGAATGTTCTCATTGGGCGCCGGCCGACTTGCCGACTCTTTTGCTCTTTAACACACTTTGGAGGAGAAATATTTCGATACGTACGTACGCTAGCATACATTCTACATCTACATTCTAGAAACGAAGACGCCATCCGACTCACGTAACTGGCAACCGGCAGAGTAAACAACATTGTTGGTGCGTCGTGAAGGAACTAACGAAAGAAACTCGCCCATATAATATGATTTTGACCAGGAAACAGACGAGAAGTAATCGTTTTGTTAATAAATTGAACGTTTTGATGCCCAACTGGAGGAGGAGTAGGTATGATTTGAAATCATACGGTTGCGGTGTAAATGTAAATATAATACGCACGAAGTGAATGCTGTCTAACTGTGTGAAGGCAGCACTAAACATGAAGGACGAAGAACGGATTGTAAATTCTTGCGTTTACACGACGTCGAGAGATGATCGCACATTAAGTACGAGATGAAGTGGAACCAATCACTTTTTCATTTCTTTTTGAATATTTCAGCTATGCAATCTGTGAATATCTCAGTTATTATTCACAACAAACACGTATTTGGTTGCCTGGATTTGAACTTGCTGCTTATTAGTTTATGAACTTTCTAAATGCATCGGCACTCACAACAATAACATCAATTTTTATGTAGAAATTTGCCATTCTTTAAAGGCACGACACCAAATGAATGCCTTTTGCTGCTTGTTAATTAAGAAGGAAGTAGGGCCTTCCCGCAGTCAGCTAACGTGCAATGAGTCTGTGGGTCTGAATAAACCGACCGGAAGTTTCTGTGTCTTCTGACCTGGGCGGGCATTCAAGTCACCGCCGGAAGTTTGATCAAATGCTGTTTTATCACTCACGTTTTCGGAACGTTATTCAATTTGTTCAATTAACGAGAGTACGACTGGAAGTATAGCGCCATCTACATTAATTCGTGTTTTGACATGTAATAAAGCATAATTTATCATTTTTGGCAGATGAATGTTAAAAATGGATTAACAATGCGGAAGCGTGCTAATATTATTCTTATCTAGAATCATTGTTTGAGGACGCGCTGCCTGTTGATGACATTTTTGCATGTTGTCATGTGAATGTCGTGTGCCATTCACGCATATTTTTATTTATATTTCACGGTGTAATCAAATCTACCAATATGGATATTTTGCTTGTTTAAATTTAATGTGATTATTATTTCCTTGCTCGCTTTTTGATAGTTTACTTTTTTCCGTTGTGATTTTTCTGCTTCGTGTTGGTTTGCTCTGATCTGATATGCTCATCATGCGCTTACACATACGCAGACGACACGTTCGTGTTTGCTTAAAATTTGTATATGCGAGATAGCGACATCCGCAATTACGTACAATTATAAAGCGTTGTATATCTAAAATTACATCCTGCGTGCCGACAGTGCCTGACTTCGGGACCGATCGGGTGACCGGCAACAACTATTTTTTACGACAAATAATTACTCGAATTACGCCTTCTTCTGATTAAAATATTAGCTAATTATTGAAAAATGCGCGGGAGTTTTTTTTTTTTGAGAATAAAACTGCCGAAATTTATTGATAAAATTATAGATTAAATTTAATTGTAGGTATTGTGTTACGATTTTAAATTTTGTGGACATTGGTGTGTTCAAATTATATTGCGTTTTTTTTTGTTTATATAATCTAGTTATATATTAATTTTCATTTTTAAAGTTCCGCTTTTGTTGTAATTTTATTTGTATTTTGAAATTATTGCCTAATTAGTATTTTCAAACGGTTTCAAATTATTTTGGTATTTTTACTTTCCGGCTAATACAGTTCAATAAATACTACAAATATTCTTCAATGTCGTAGATAAAACATGTATACTTTTTTGTTTGATTTTTTTACGACAGGTTTGCCTTGCATACTTTCAAAAATGATTAATTACAGTGATGAATTGTAACCCTAAGCATCTTTTCCGCTTGAAACGATACGATTGTTTATCGAACGCTCTAATATTTGAGAACATTAAGTACCCGCCGTGCTTGTTTAACGGTTCCGCTAAAATTGTTTATGTATTTCGCGTTCGGAGATGGTTAAAAATAGATATTATTAATCACTAATGTTTATACCACTTGGTTTTTACATAGTTTAATATTATGTTTTCTAGGTTTCTTTTATCCAAAGAAAAATATAAATCCTGATTCAAAATTCAACAAGTAAAATGTGTTACAATTTATAACCGGATATTTGAAAATCCATGTCGTTTGTTTGTGCTTTTTTTGCTTATGCAAGCACGTACAATCATGCACCATGATGTTATGACGCTTCGATAAGATATAATTCACATGACTAACTAATATATTCAATAGCAATTGAATTTTAAAAGTGCAATGTGCACATTTCGCTTCTATTACGCTATTTCTCAGAATCATAAAATGATTTACTGGCGCTACATCCTGAATAATACATTCAAGTTTTGATAACAAATATAGAAAATAAATTAAATTTACTATTTTATTTCAATGTCAAATTATTGATCAGTACAAAAATTAAAACATAATAAAAATGCGTAATTTGTACCTATTGTTTGATTGTTTATGATACGTTTGTTTTTGTTTCCACTTTTTGCGTGTAATTCAACTCTCAGTTGAGACGGTAACATTAACCGGCTATTGATTGCCACGGCTTTTATCTCTGTGACGACGGCGTTGTTATCAGTTCTCTAGTTGCGCTCGCACATACACGGTCGCCACGTACGATTAACGTCACATAAGTTGTGCCACCGAATGCCATACTCACCGACTCAGTTTCGAATCAGCCGGCAGTCAAACCGAACGTGGTGTTTTCGCAAACATTTCACGGTGAAACATATGTTCCAATTTGCGGGACCAAAATGGAAGCTGAAAAGAGTGTTCAATCCGATCAGACGGAACAAGATAGCTTGAATAAACAACAAACGACTATTACTATCACATATAAACGTGCTAATCCAACATCTACATCGGTATACACGTGTTTTGCTGGTATTTTGAAGTAGTATTATTATTAACTATTTGTTTGTATTGTTTACAGGGTGCTGGCCCACCGAACGGCACCAGCCATCCGCCGCAAACCTACCATTATACAATGCCGCCCAACTTCGCCTCGCACCATCCGCACTTTCACTCGAACATGCCCCCGGGCGGTGGCGGCGCAACGCATCCCATGCACCAGCCACTCTCGGCATCCGGACACTCACCACCGCCAGCATTCTGCAAAGATGAACGCTCGCAACGGCAATACATAAAACTGAAGAAGAAACAGCTGGACAAACAGCAGAAGTCGGTCGACAGCATCGGCGGTCGCAAAGAACTCGTCAATGGCATCAAACGCGTAAAAGATAAGGGAATGAACAGTGTTGGTACCTCTGAAGATGGAGAGGAGAGTAGCAGTCTGCAGGATGATGATGATTCTGCGCATATTACTGATATTTTGTCGTCTGTAGAGGCACCCAAGGTAAATTTTGTTTACAACGTCATGATTTTTATAATGATTTATTATAAACGGTATAATTTTGTAATTTAGGTGTCTGAATTGACCTCAAGGAGTGCCTTGCTGCAATGGGCGGCACCGCGACGTCTCTCCGAAGCGTCCAGCAATGACAGCCACGAGCTGGACATCCCCGAGAACGACTTGCGCTACGAGGTGCTACTCAGTGACAAAAGTAAAGAAATGAAATACAAGTCAATCTACAGTGGAACATCGCTCTCATGCCGCATCGAAGATTTGCGGCCTGGATTAGAGTACTCCGTGTGTCTACAGGTGCATTTTGACGAACTGCAAGGCTCAGCATCCGATCCGCTCAAATTTACCACGCCCGCCTGTGAACCAGACGCGCCTGCTCCACCCAAGCTCATCTCGCGTACAAAGAGCACACTGCAACTACGCTGGAACGCAACGACGGCGAACGGCTCGCCCATCTTGCATTACATCCTCGAATACGACGAGGGTAAAGGCGGTGATTTTGTCGAATTGTATAAGTCGCGTGGCAACCAGCATTCTCTGCAGAAGCTCACCGCAGCGACGCCGTACAAGTTTCGACTTTCAGCCGTCAATGATATTGGACGCAGTCAATACAGTGATGTGGTGGTGTATGAAACGTCGGAGAACGCGCCGACACAGCCGTCGCCACCTCAACTTGATCGGGCCGACATCCAGGCCCTGCACCTTTCGTGGGCACGTCGGCCCATGGACGACCAGTTCATTCTTGCGATGGACACATCCGACTATGGTTATATGCCAGTCTATAATGGACAGGAGACCAAACACTCCGCTGTTAGTCTGAAGCAATTTACGAATTATAAATTTAGGTAAGAGAGTAATTTACTACATATTGAAATGAATCCTAATATTTAATTCTAATTATGTTTAGATTGCGAACGAAAAATGACGGCGGTCTTTCCGAATGGTCGGAAGAAGTAATCTTCCAGACACTTCCAGATAGGCCTGCGAAACCCTCCAATCCGGTGGTCAAGGGCAAGATCCACGCACGCTCCTTTCGGTTAAAGTGGGATCCACCTATTGACACTGGCGGACCACCTGTGACCAAGTATATTCTTGAGATGAGCTCTAGCGGCGGCTATGTGACGTGCTACGGTGGCGCCGACCCGGAGGCGAACTGTGATAAACTAACACCGGGCACGACCTACCAGCTGCGTGTGTGCTGTGAGAGCGCTGGCGGCCGTAGCAACTACTCCGACCTGTGTACGGTCACGACGGAGGCTATTTGCCCAGGAAGGTGCGCACCTATCCGCCTAGCGGGAAAACCGCGTGCGACCGGACTCACCTTACGGATATCCGAGCCTGACTATGACGGCGGAGCTCCTGTGCTTGAGTACGAGGTTGAGATGACTGCTCCTGATCAAAGCAAAACTTTGGTACATAAGAGCAAAGATACCGAATGTAATGTTGAGGGTCTTTTACCTGGCAGTAGATATGTATTCACAGCTCGTGCTTTGAATAGAGTCGGAGCGGGCGAGTGGGCTGAGGAAGCATCATTAATGAGTGGTGCCGCTCCACCTGAAGCTTGTGCTCAGCCCACGGCAACATGCAGGTCTTCAACGCACGTGTTTGTCCAATGGAGTGCACCAGCTACGAACGGTGCTTCTATATCGGAGTACCGTCTGGAAATGGGGTCCAACGGCACTGCGGACGATCAATTCACATTGATTTATCAAGGCGAGAGTACCTCCTACGATGCGAAAAATCTCACCCCTTTCACAACGTACTATTTCCGCGTTCAGGCGGCTAATTCCGCCGGTTATGGCTTGTATTCACCCATCGCGGCTACCATCACACCAGCCGCGCCTCCTGCTCAGATCCAAAACATCCGACACACTTCCACACCAACCTCTATCGCCTTGTCGTGGCTTGAGCCCTCGTCCAATGGCACACCCATTTCGGAATATATCATAGAAGTGGCCGATCAGGTAATCCACACGGAAGAACCAATAACCAAGTATGTCATAGAAGACCTTCAGCCGGAGACTTCGTACAAAATTAAACTACGCGCTGTGAATTCTGAGGGTATGGGTCCCCAGTCATCTACTCTGAGAGTGGCAACTGCGAAGTTGCCGCCTGCACCTCCTAAGCTTGAATGTATTGGCGTTGGACACAATTGTTTAAAACTTAAGTGGGGCGAAGGGAAGAATCCCGAATACACTACGTTTATCATCGAAATGGAGAGTCCCCGCGCGTATGATTACCAAACCGTTTTCAAAGGCACTGCATTCACGTACAAAGTGAACAAATTACAAGAAGCGACTACGTATAAATTTAGGATTTGCGCATGTAACGATGCCGGCGAGGGAGATTATTCGGATGATTATGAATTCATGACGAATCTAGCTCCACCGGCAGCAATCAAGCCTCCGAAAATTATCGATGTCGATCAGAATAGTTGTTCCGTGGAATGGATGCCGTCGAGGAACGCGAATCCAGATCCGATCGAATATTGCGTTCAGTTGTCTAGGCTTAAAGATCAACAATATAAAGAAGTATGCTCTTTAACTCTGAATTTGTCTCGCTTATATTATTGTTTGCGTTTTGTTATAGGTTTATAAAGGTCCGGACACTAGATGCACTCTGGAACGCCTTGATGCCGGGTGTGAGTATGCAGTGCGCATATGTCCCATTCGTAAGACGCAGGATGCTGATCTCGCCGGGCCCTTTACGCCATTTGCAAAGTTTTCGACTACAGCAGTTGAAACCATCTCGACGCAACGCATCGTAGCCCACACGAGTGGCACACCTACACATCATCGCCACAAAGCTTCGGCCAAGAGCCAGCTTCCAGCTCTCTGGCAGCGCTACAAGGAACCGCTGTCTATTCTTAAGTATCCGATCATCGTCGGCATTTTGGTCGTCTTCATCTTGTTCCTGTGTGTGTTATTTTTTACATAGGTGCAATTAATTCGCGTCAATGCAAACGACAAGGAATAAGAACGAAATCTGAACAATTAATTCGCGTCAATGCAAACGACAAGGAATAAGAACGAAATCTGAACACACACACTCACACATTCAAATATACAACTGCATTGATTCTGAATTACGCGGAATAACCAGAGAAAATATAGTCGTACCTGCTTTAAAATGAGAAAAAACTTGAACACTAAAATGTTGTTCAATCCAAATCAAATTATTTTTTATTTAATAAGCTAAGAGAGTAAGATAAGACAAATAGCTATATATTTTGTATGATATGTTTTGTTTGTTGATTGTTTCTTTACTTGTTTCTGGTTATTTGCGGCGGACAGGAGAAATTTTGAGTACCGGGAAAGACAAGTGACATAATCGCATTCCAATTGATTCGCAACAAAAATGCTACGAAAATTTGAAGCTTGAAACGAAACCACACGAGATTGCGACGTGCAGATTCTTAAGTATTATATTATAGTACAGGGCTTAAATTTTATCATTATTTTTTATTAAATATTGAATATATTATATATAAAGGCAGATTATATATTGAAATATAAATAGATATATACATATAGAGGACCAAAGCTACAGTTTTGGTATTTTTATACGTGTTTTTCCGTACTCAGCCTGGTGCTAGTGAAAATTAAACTTGAGAGTCGAGTATGGACTAGAATTGTCAAACTGAAAACCGAATGCAGAGGCAAAACTAAAACGTTTGAAGAACTGGGGGTTCGCCTGTTATATACGAGTATATTTTATTTTTAATCTCGATCACACGAGCGCGTTCCGCGAACGTGCATTGTTATTCCAGTCATCTGTATATTTATATTATACATTCATACATATTTTTATAGCAAAGTTATATTGATAGTTGTTTAAGAATGTATTTTTTATTGCAAAACGGGCGCTGAGCAAGGCGGACAAAATGTGTTCGAATTTTGAACGGAATGCGATGCGATCGTGGAGGAAGTAGATAGATAATTTAGGCCTACGAAAGGGGTTTGCGGATACATCGTGTATTGATTTGCATTTTTCTTGTATTCCAAGATATAGGATGTGTTTGTGCAATAGAAGCGAAACCTGATAAGGAAACCAAGAATAATGTTCAACATGTTTGTTTCGTTCTCGATCAGATATTTTTTTCGAGCGAGTCAATGATGGATGATTGTCTCACGCATTTACTATATACAAAACTAAAATCGAGAATGAAAACACAACTAAACACTAAAATTTAATGAAAGTAAAAACTATTTATGTATAAATGTAAATTTATATGTATCTTTATAAGGTTGAAGGTATTATATAAGTAATTATCTCTAATCGTATGAATATTTAATGAAATATGTTGACTACGAATTCAAGCACTTCTTTGAGAAGTGTTTCACTTAAAAGACGCAAAAAAAATTGACGAATGATTGCAAAAGCATTTCGTTTAGGAAAAATGTATAAACTACACTAACGCATTCAAAACTGCAACAAAAACGTGAATATGGTATATGCATCGATGAATTTTAGGCAATGTGTTAATCGACGATTGGCTGAAAATGGTCCTATCTAGTTTAATTTATGTACATGATGAAACTGAGATGCAATTATTGTAAATTTTGGCGTTCGAATCAAAATAGGAGGAGCGAATAATTAATCTCTAACATTGGAGTAACATGATGGAAAATTAGGTTTAATGAAATCTAATCAATTACTTTAAAGACTCTTGGATAAACAGAAAAGAAATGAAATATGTGAATATATGCAAGATGGAGATAAAAATTAATTATATTAAGCGTGTCGCCTCCGGAACACGCCACAAAGATATAAATATAGATATATTATATATTATAAAAATAAATCAATTATATTTTATGTAAAACAAATTGATTGTTCAATCATTTTTGTAACACTCATTTGCTTTAATATTTCCACATTTATCTGCGGTCGAATTTCAACCATTTAGATTTAATTTCCCAACATAGTCGTTTTGTTAATGCTTCAGAATACTCGTATACGAGTATTCGTGTTTTGTAGTTCGTCTTTATCTGTGCAGGTAAATAATCTTTTAGGCACGTTGGTGGGGTGTATAGCGTCGAACGTTCGTTCAATCGCCAGTTTGTTTACGTTCATATCTCGTGGCACGTCGTGTTTCTTGAGACTTTAATTGTGTATAATAATACCGATGTGAATTAGCGGGCTGACTGTTAATAAAAACGAAATTTTGTATCTTATGAATGTTCATGAGTTTGGTGCCGGTTATCATCGGAGTTGCTAGTTTTTCCGGGAATTACATTGTTCTCAGTTTGTACAATCAAACCATTTGTGTCATCAGCAATGGAAATCCCTCCATCGCCAGGATTTAGTTGCATCATCCAGTACTGGTTTCTGGAGTACGGTAAGTGCATGGACCAACCCTGTGTCTTCCAGTTCTTTCTCTTCCTCCGTCAAGAGGCTATATTAGTATCTGTAGACCATCTTTTAATTGTGTTCACCCATCAAGCAAATTGAAACAACCGCTCGAAATATGCCATGTTCTATCGCTACATCCTATACACAATGCGCAGTATTAGTGTTTGTACGTAAACAATTCTTTTGGTCTTGTTCGGCGAGCGTATCGCAGTGGCAATAGTGACCTCGTGCAGTCGTATTCACAGAGCGTGCCATTTCAGTCACCGGATCTTCATCGCGACTTGTTTTCTTTCGATAAATCATAGTTAAGAAAATCAATTAATATGGAATAAACCACCGAATGTGTTTTTTTGAAAGCGGCAGTGAATGGTGTTTTGTTAGTGAAATAGCACACGCGGAATCTATCATAAATGAAGCGTTGGCTCATCTGTACGCGTTTGAGGTTCCGTCGGCCGTCGGTAAAGGTTCTTCGGCTGTGAAATTAGACAGTAATGTACATTGGAATAAAACCAATCGCGTTGATTATTAAGTACCAAATATACGAGTAAAAGCTACCATGTAAGTAAAATTAATCGTAACATACTTCCAACACGGATTGTACTTATCACAAGTTTAATACGACATCGTGGCATCAATTCGTTTGTTGAATAATGTGCAAATTTTTGTTTTCGCTATGTACGTCTGTACTAAATGTTTGTTCAGATAATTACTTGTTCACCATATTACTCGTTTACCGTCAACAATGACATACCATAGACTGGTTTGAATATCTGACGGCATTTCAACATCAATCAATTATAAGGATACGTATTATGATCCTTCGAGGATCGGTTGCATCTTACTTCACTCAATTTGTAGTACTTAGTGCAATTTAATAATTTGTAAATTCTTAATTTCTTAATCTTAATATATGTGCTTTAATCTTAAGTTACTGCTCTTAATAAATTGTCCCATGTTTTTCTGGTTGATTGTAGGTATGTATAGACATATTTGTTTTCTCTTTGTGAAGTTCTGCCCATAATTAAGATCACGTGAATAATAGAATATCTTTGCACGTCGGGAGGAGAAGGTCTTTCCATCTTGTATTTTGTGTTTGCTTTTTAATACTGGTTGTTTCCTTTTTCTAACATCATGTGTATTGCTTTTCAATAAGCGCACGTGGAAAATGGGCTCTACTTATATTTTAAGCTTTTTAAAATTTGAAGTAGTTATTTTTTAAACATCCTGTATCGTAATTATCTTTAACATCCGTAGAAACTGAGATTTATTTGTTGTTTTATTTTCCTTTTCTAACTGCCCTTTTCTAGGATTTTTCAAAACTTACGGTGGAAAACTGGTCATATTTCGCAAACACTTTACAATATGTTAGTTATTTCTTTTTTATATGATAAAGCAAGAGTCCTTTTTCAGGATGCACCCTTGAAACTTTGCGAATTTCAGTCCTAACTGTCTCAAAATGGCCGCGAAAGTTTGCTTTTTTCTAGCATTTTTCGAAACTTCCGGTGCAAAACTGGTCATATCTCGTGAACCCTTTACAATAGTTTAGTTTTTTCTTCCTTATATGATAAAACAAGAGTCGTTTTCAAGATGCACACTTGAAACCTTGCGAAATCAGTCCTAACTGTCTCAAAATGGCCGCGAAAGTTTGCTTTTTTCCAGCATTTTTGGAAACTTTTGATGTAAAACTGGTCATATCTAGCGAACCCATATTTTAGTTGTTTTATTTTGATATGAAAGAGCAAGAGTCCTTTTTTAAAATGCATCCTTGAAACCTTGCGAATTTCAGTCCTAACTGCCTCAAAATGGCCACGAAAGTTTGCTCTTTTTTAGCATTTTTCAAAACTTACGGTGGAAAAGTGGTCATATCTCGCAAACCCTTCGCAATAGTTTAGTTGTTTCTTCTTTATATGATAAAACAAGAGTCGTTTTCAAGATGCACACTTGAAACCTTACGAATTTCGGTCTGAACTGTTTCGAAATGGCCGCAAAAGTTTGTTCTTTTTTAGCATGTTTTAAGACTTGCGGTTGAAAACCGGTCATATTTAGGAAAATTCTTATTTTTAATAGTTTGTAATACTTGGAGTTAAGGTCAATTTTATTAAACACGCGTTTTTGGTACACTCGGTGAATTTAGTTTTGTCCGTGTTTATTTTTCAACATCTTCGCGAACGTAAACAACTGTTATCTTGAGCGAGTTTACACCGACGAGTGTTGCACTGATGCATAGAAATTATTTAACATTTACTGTATATTTCTGCGTGTTTGTATCCAATATATTAGAGATAATTGCTTTATTAAAATATTAATAGGTAGATATCATATTTAACTTATCGCCGAACGATATGTTTTGTCTCAGCCTTATTTTAAGAGACTAATGCGCAATGTTTTAACTCTCATTTCTAACAGTGAATGTAAATTAAATTCCTGTTTTTCTCAATCTTATTACATCCCAAAGCCAATAAATTCTTTTCTTATGCCGAGAAATATTGAAAGTAAAAGTAGATTTCGAGTATATCGGTTATTTCAACATTGTGAAATTTTAGTTTGATCTTTTCCACTACGTGTTTATCAGCACGTTTGTGTATAAACAACTTTTTGTTCGACTGACACGTGTTACCGCGACGTATCTGCCTTGTAGCTGGTTACGTGCAGCGCACACGGCAGTCGTTTCACCGCGTGGTCTCCAGGCGTGTCTCTCTAATCGCCACGCGTTTTGAGTTAATTGGTTTAATCGTAGTGTATTCTTTCGGTCATCAGCAAAAAATTGGCACATGTGGGTGTTTTATGTGATGATTTGTGGTGGTTAGAGTCTTCTTAAGTGCGAAATAAGTATCCGTTAATCGATACGCGAGGTTTATGTTGATAGAATAAATTCCAGAGTAGAAAATCTCATCATTGCTTAGGTAGGTGTGTAATTAATTTTTTTTCACGAAAAGTTAAGTAAACCGCCTTAATTAACCGCCTTAAATTGCTTATTAAATTTATTAATTTTTAATATTAATTTTCCGTGTATACGATAATCTTGCTAATTACAAACACGTGGTTGCATTTTTATAAGAATTCCTAGTCCCGTTTCTAAAAATAACATGCATGATTTAATTATTACAACCACGGTTTTTAATATTATGTGAGGATTATTAAAATGACAATATTCATCTAGTCGACCACGTTCATCTTGCCGTCGGCCGTCGGCTCGGTTGTCTTTTCACATGAACGATTATACTCCTAATCGAAATGCACTCGTTAGCATCATTAAATTAAGAAGACTCTAGTTGTCCTAATAAAATCTGAATAGTTTTTCGTTTTCGTAGTTTGCGAATATATACAAAGAAATAGTTATTTTAAAAGTATTTGCCGACTATTTTGTTACGCGCCGTCGCTTGTCGTCTGCTGATGTCGTCTGGTCTTCCGCCGGATATTCTATCAATTTCTGATGATGCTTCACCCGTAGGTTATCTTATGCAGTTGATGTTATCATCAAATAATACATTTAAATCCAATAAGTATATTAAAATGCAAGTGTTTTATTTTCATAGCACCTTTTTGTTCAATTTTATATTAAAATATTGTTGTTTCTTTGTAAATTTCCCTCTTCATGTTATGAATTTGTAGTTTCTAAAATTTTCTTTTTCAACACCCTGTATATGTTTTCCTAACAGCACGTAGAAAATTGCTTTTGTTTGTCAGTTATGAGTTTTCTCTGTTTCCAATTTTCTTCAGATTTTCCTTATGAAACGCTCTGTATATTCGTTTTTGTGCCCGTGAAAATGATGCTGCAGCTGTTGTTTTAGGTTTTTCTTCTTTGCACTTTAAATTTTCTTTTGTAACACTCTGTATATTAATTTCCTTAATCATCGGATGTATATCATGTAATATTTGTAGTGTTTGAATATTTTTCTTTTTGTATTTAAAATTTTCTTTTTATAACACCCTGTATATTTGTTTCCATTTCAATCACCTAGAAAAATTGGCTATTTGCTAATTTCATTATCCCGGTAGTACAAAGTAGTACTTGCTTGCATGTGCGCGGCTATGCAGGTCGAAAGTCCTGTTTCAATATGGCGACATGTATTCTGTTGACTTGTAAAATCTAAACTTGTATGCTATTGTTAATAAAGAAATAGTATGATATATTTACTTCTTTGATTTGTATACCCCTTCTATCATTTCAGGCACAGATCTCTAGGAGAGTTCCCTCTCTCAGGTAATGATCCCCACTATAAAAATTGTTAAGGTATCCTCTGTGATTTGTGTGCTCCTTCTTTCATTTCAGCTACAGGTCAGAACTTGTAAGAATATTTTTAAGTGTCACCTCTCTTGAGGCGACTTAAAACTTAGAAATATTTGAACAAGACCTTATAAGGATTGTCCTTATAAGGAGTTCCCTCTCTCTGGGGGTGATCCCCCACCATAAAAATTGTTGATATGCCTGAGTATTTCGGGGATGAAGCGCAGAGACATCGTAGCTGTAGGATGGGCCGGGAGCAATGGACGGATCGGAGCAGTAGGCTGTAACGACACGTACCAAAAAATTTAAAAATCTGAGATCCTCCCTTGTTCTCTCTTTCTTCTATCTACTCCTTCTTTCTCTTCCTTCTATCTTTTCTCTGCTACTCCACTCCTCCCTTCCTCTTCTTCCATTTCACTGCTCCCGCTCCTCCACTTACTACTATTTATTTCTCTTATTGCTCTCATTGCCTCACTTGTATTTCAATTTCTCTTATATTTCATTGCAATTCATATATGCAACCCAAATTACACCAGATATTTTTATATTTGAGAAAAATGCCTTCGATACCTGAGATTCGATCCGTGTCTACTAGCATGCTAGCAGGTGCACGTACCCACTCGACCACCGCGTGTTTTATCATTTATATTTGATTCTTCTATTTATGTTTTACGTTATTCAACTTTTTAAAAACAACAACGCCTTACCTATAGCTATGTTCCACCCGCTCCACGCGCATAAGATTTATATGCAATATGCAATATGACTTAAGACGTCAATACTGAAAACGACAAACGGGACACCACAAATAAATAAATATGCATAAAATTATAATTTTTATTGTGTTTTATTGAGAACAATAATAATAGAAATATTTTTTTAAATAGAAAAATATCGACAGCTAGCAAATTCGGAAGTAGTAAAAACTTGCCTTAAAACACTCGCATCTCCATCATTTCCCTTATAGATATTGCAAACTCCATTCGTGCATTCACAAACTTCTTGTCTGGGCATCAAAGTTGTTCATTTGCTGAAATTAATTATATATCCAAGTTATTCTTATGTGCGAAACGATAACTGAATGCCGACGGACACGCGCGCACAGGTGACCGAAAATTAATCCACGATTGATAAACACAGCAGCATGCAATCACGCTTGTAAAACCCCGGTCACCCCGATTCTGGTATATGCCGGCGATTGCGAAGAATGTAAATCAATTTACTTAATTATGATCGGAAGTAACAGGACTAGTCGCGACACTGCGTGTGCAACAAAATGCATACAGCCAACTACGACAACACGAGGTCACTATCAATATTGCGCGATACGTTCGCTGAATGCGACAAAAAAATTGTTTACATACAAATCTCGCGCGTACAGATCTTGACGATGGATGCATAGCAAACAGCGCCTGTTTTGGTACTACTAGCGCACTAAGCAAAATTTCTACGGCGCCCAACTGGAAATCTTTAGTCACAAGGCCCAAATATTTTGAAAATGACAAAAATAAAAATGGAGATTAATTTAATACTTCCACATACTCAAAAGTATTAAAATCGAGTCAGGAAAACGGGAGATACAGGCCACAACAACTTTTCAAAAATGACAAAAATTGCGGAAGTTTGAGAGTGATTTCAGGGCACTTCCCGACCCTTGAGAGAGACTAAATGCAGTTCATACCATTAAAGAACTCTTCCTCTATCACCTGAAGCAAACAGAAACAAAATCCAGTCAAGTAAACGCGATATACTGCCCATTTTCCACCTCAACTCTTCAAAAATGACAAAAATGGTTGAAGTTTGAGAGTGATTTAAGGGCCCTTCCCGACCCTTGATGGTGACTGAATGTAGTTCATACGATTAAAGAACTCCTCTTCAATCACCTGAAGCAAACAGAATTAAAATCCAGTCAAGAAAACGCGAGATACAGACCATTTTCCACCGCAACTTTTCAAAATTGACAAAAATTGCGTGTGAAAACATCAAATCTCGTAGCTATAAAGACTTGCCGTAAAATATGCTCATTTCCAAACACTATTTATAAATCCAAGTTATTCTGATGTGCGAAAAAATAACTGAACCTACGGTAGCCCACTTAACACCCGCTGTTCACATGTGGACTTCCACGAATGGAATAGAATTCCACAAACGAAAAACAATCACCGACGACCGTCGGAACCTAACATTCGACAAGTGCTATCACATTTATTTAATTTATCATTTATTGAATTTAAATCGACTTACTAAATTTTGTTTCAAAGAAATTAGACTAGTCGCGGTGAACACACGCGACTCACTCGATGGCCGGAATGAAACTGCATGTGCACTAAACTGCACACAGCAACGGCGACAAAACGCCACCACTATCAGTATTGCGATACGCTCGCTAAACGCGACTAAAAAAAATTGTTTACATGTAAAACATCGTACGTATTTAATTTTGACAGCATGGTAGTGCCAGTTTTGAATTCCTGATTTTCTGAAATTTGATATCGACTTTTATACACCTCCGGATGTATACAAGTGTCGAAATGTAGTGCATTTGATTAAGCAACTCTTCTTCTCCTACTTGAAGGAAACAGAATTCAAATCGAACAAGAGAAACGCGAAATACAGAGATACAGAGACGAAGTGCCAATTACTGAGCTGCCCACTGCTTATCGTTACGCGCCGATTACTCTGTCCTTTATATGTTACGTTAATTAACTTACAATAATAAACTTTATTTTGTTCACACTCGAATGATTTGCCACTTCCACAAGTTAAACATCAAGTAGGTTAAAACTAGAGTCCCTTTTAATTCTTTAAATTTTTCGCACCACCAACTATTTAAATTGAATATATATTACATATGAGAAGAATGAAGTTGAAAGCAGTAAATACGATTGATACGTGCAAGAAAATCAGGGAATAAAATATAAATAATTTTTTTTATTTCTAAAATGCGGATCCAACCGGCCTCAAAGTGATTTCGTTGACCATAATTGATGGAGAAGTACCCAAGGTATATAGAACTGCTTCTGCAACATCTTTGGGCTCCAACATTGGCATATCTTTCATTGCTTCCACTTCATCCGGAAAAGAATACAATTCATTTATTTCAGTCCTCACCAATCCTGGGCTAACGCTCTAGAAATTATAATGACTATGTTTATAAATAATTCCCTTACTCTATTTTTTTTAAATGTTCTGTTTAAATAAACAAATACTTACGGTTACTTTAATTTTTGATTTATTGGTAGTTAGTTCGCTCCTTAACATTTCACAAATATTCGTAAGGGCGTGTTTGCTTGCACCGTAAACATTGGTGCTCGCATAATATAGGTGACTTTGACCTGCAATACTGTTAATATTGACAATATGCCCGGCAATATCATTTGCCATCATCAGCTTGCAGGCTTCTCTTTGAGCTACGCAAAGACCCAACACATTTGTTTCTAGAACTGTCCGCCACATTTCAGCGTCTCCCGCAATTAAATTAGTTGGGCGGCTGATGCCAGCGTTGTTGACCAGCACATGAACGATACCGACATTTGCAGTTGTCCATTCAAACGCTTTGCAGACTTCCTCCTCATTGCGAATATCACATTTAAATGCATAAAGTTTTCCTTTACTATCAGCGAGTTTAACAGCATTAGCTTGAATTCGTTCCACCCGGCGCGATAGACCCACAACCTAATATCAATATTGATATAAATATCATTATGTACTTATTTAAATATTTTATATTTTATATACCTGCATCCCTTCTTTCACTAAATATTCCGCAATCACTTCCCCTATTCCGGAACTAGCTCCCGTCACAATAGCTGTTTTCCCGAACCAACGATCCATTATAATTGTATTTTTTAAACTTCGGTACAATATAATTTGTATAGTTACTAGTTGCTCTGCTGAACGTACAATAACAAAACATCTTGTTTTGCTGCCGTATTTATATCCAAGAGTTTCATCAACAGTAAATTTTAGCATTGAATAAACAACCATCTTATCTTCCCAGTTTCTCAATTGTTTTCATGCACTAGTAAATATAATAAGTGCAAAAAAAAGGCAATGCTCGTTTACAAATATTGCGCAATTATTTCTAACTTAGTCTAGACAGAAAAAAAGCAATCATCTTTTCGTTTGACCATGAAATTGGAAGTTGACAAATTGTCTACGGAATATCATATTGTGATTGGACCTTGAACGTAACTTGATTTGACAGGTCTGCTTATCTCCTTACAGCAGACCCACAAATAGCACATTAGTCGTGATCTACCAACGCTTCCTCATTAGTTCCTAAGTAGAAAATATAATAAGCATGGATTCAATCACAATCCGGGCAGGCCGTAAGGAAGACATGTCACAAATCTACGACATGATTAAGGTACATTGTTTTCAAGCATTTCATCATGAATAGACTCTAAGTATTGCATATGTTCATTGCATAGCAACTAGCAGAGTTTGAAAAAATGGCAGACCAAGTAAAAATCTCCACGGAAACTTTAATATCAGACGGTTTCGGATCTAATCCTGCATTTGCTACATTCGTCGCATGCCCAGCAACAGACGTAAACAAAATCGTGGGCTACGCCCTCTATTATCCATGCTATAGCACGTGGGTAGGCAAATCAGTATTCCTCGAGGACCTCTTCGTGCTTCCCGAACACCGAAAAGGCGGCGTTGGCAAGAAGCTCTTTTTAGCAGTTGCAAAACTCGCACACGAGTCCAGCAAACGTATGGATTTTCACGTTTTAAGTTGGAATCCGGCAAAGGATTTTTACAAGGCGTTAGGATGCGTCAATCTGACTCAAGAGGAGGATTGGAATGTTTACCGTTTGCACAACGAGGATTTGGCTGAAGTTATCAAAGACCTAATTTAAATTTAAAATTCATATATTTTTGACAAATCTTTGAAAACGAAAATGAATGGATTTGTGAAAAATGTGACTCTTACTTGCTAGTTGCGTCCTCGGAAAGAACCTCTACCGCGCGTAGGCTGGAAAGTCATTGATTGATTATGTCCACGACCGCCTCGTCCGCCACGTCCACCAAAACTTCGTTTATTTTGTCCCTGTCAAACAAGAACAAAAACACCAATTAAAAAATATTTGAAATGAAACATTTGAACAAGTGTCTTACTTTTCCTCTGTGTTTTGTTTCAACTTGTTTATGGCCAACCGTCCGACCACCACCCCTAAACTCACTATAATCAACTCGACTGTAGTCATAAGGATGCATGGCAGCTTCATTTTGGAAATTGGAACTTCTACCACCTCGTCCTCGTTTACTATTAAAATTATGTTTGCCACCGCGTTGATGTTTATCCCCCTTTTGATTTTGTTTAGAATTTTTGCCTCGACTTGTCGGGTACTTTTGATTATGATCATTAGATTTATTGCTCTTTTGCTTCTTGTTGGGATGCTCTGACTTGCTAGTTTTATGAATTTCTGCCTCATTGTCATCTTTGGTGACAATTGTGCCAAAGCGGTCAACTGTATCACTTCTCTTTCGCTTTTTCGATCCAGGCATACTTATCAAAGGCTGCGATGTATCCAAGGAAATCACCGAAGACAAAGATGCGGCAAAATCGTCACGGGCTTGCACTGGGGGCTCCTCTTTGCCTGGCCCTTGATCTTCATTCAAAGCATCCCTAACTTGTACGAAGTGTTCGTGCAACTAAAAATAATTTAATTCAAAATAGTTGAATGGAAATTCAAGAATGTACCAACATACCGCTGCAATACGATCATCAACTGACGGATCATCCTCAACAGTGATTTTATCTTCTTTTGGTTTTTCCTTTTCAGCAGCTTCGGCTTGGAGAAACGGTCTTATTAGTTTATACCTCTCGAAAGGTCCCAAAAATGTAAAACTAGGTTTCTTCTTAGCTCTGGGTTTAAGAGACAAGTCATTGAATATTTTACAAGACGATGACTGCTGTTCTAAAGGAAGAATATTTTCGTTAACATCTTTCATTGCTAAACAATTAAGCAAGGTGGGCAAGTTATCCTTGTTGTCTAGCTTCGTCATGTCGTGTGGACAATGCAGAGGGCTGTCGATATTAATACGAACAAGTTCTTTGCTCACGATTCGTCTATTACTTTCCTGCATTATTGGCTATGAAAAAATATAAGTTAGATTATATTTGACAAAAATAAAAACAAATTTAAAACCTTCTCTAACGGCTGTTCCCTTGCCCTCAAAATAATATGATGTAATTCCAAGGAATGAGCGCGCGCTAATGGCGGAATCGGACTGCAACAAGCGAGGATTCCTTGCACCTCTCGTGGCAACATTTCCGCTATTTGAAGCATCATATGATTGGGTAAGACATACCTATAAACAAATATTGACTATTTTTATGGCATGATAAAACAGAAATACCTTAAACTAATAATAACTAAAATTATGTGTACTTTTTTAAGTCATGATCTTGTTTCCTTGTTTAAGAGCGAGATTGATTAATTTGAATTCATTGTGTTTTGTTAAACACCAATGAAAGCTATTAATCACTTTAGAGTCAACAAGCGACCCACTACATCCACCTTGTTTCATCTAAATGAATGTCAAGTGATATAGGTTTGTTTACTCAAATGTGACGTCACAAGAAGTGAAATTTCTACCAACTAAAGCGCATTATACATTTCCACAAATTATAGGAGGTATTTCTTTTCACAAATCTTCAAACACATTTCGAGTGATACAAATTAGAATTACAAGCAATGATAGAAGAAACGACACCACTTGTTATCATATCTACCTTAAATAACTTACCCAGTGCTCTCATCCTCATCACGTGAGATTCCGTCTCGCCACTTGTAAATTTCCTTCAGCGCATACATCTGACGATTATCAAACATCTTCTTGCGCCTTCTACATAATTTAAGATGCGCGTCCGGCGTCCATCTTGGTTTAATATACCTCTGCAAAGCGAAAAATTAAAACCAATTTCTAACAATTATTGAATAAACAACACTTACCATTTTACAAACTTCAGTACTAGCTTGAAACACTGCTCTTACTAAATTGTCATTGCCATTCGCCTGCTTATACAACTCCTTCTTAAGCATCTCATATACATAAATCAAATAATGTGTATCCTCACGCGCATAATCTTTCAGCGCCTGTGGCAGAGGACGTATCCTCCAATCTGCCAACTGAAACTTTTTATTTGGCATAAAGTGACAAAATCGATTCAATAAATACGCAAGTGATAACCCGGAATAACCTAACGTTTTCGCCGCTTGATGCGTATCAAACATATTAACAATGTACAACGATAAATCGCGTTGCAACCACTGTATATCCATATCAGCACCGTGAAAAATCTAAGCAGAAAATTAAACGAATAAATTATGGACCTAATAATGAAAGAAAATAAACTATTTACCTTCAAAATGCTTGGCTTGGTAAAAACTTCATTCAACACATATAATTTATGTCTCAAACTTAAAGTGTCTACTAAATAATCCGCTTTCCTAGTGGATATTTGCATCAAACATGTAATACCCTGAAAAGTCCTGTATGAATGATGCTCCAAATCAATTGCAATCTCCTTGTGCTTTCTAAGTTCTTCAACCAGCTCATCCAACTGTTCCTCAGTTGTTATTTCATGAAGTGGTGTATTATTTACATTTTCAACAGCTGATGGCTCTTTTATATCAGCCAAAAATACTTCAGGCACCTTAAAGTGCTCCAACTCAAACTCATATGGATGTGACCATTCATCAAATTCTTCAAACTCTTCATTTGGCTCCAAATGCAAAGCCAGTGGTTTCAAAGAATTAGGTTTCTCAGTGATTCTTGGTTTCCAGGGATGAATATTACCATTATCAACTTTATCTTTAAAATAAGTCTGTGGCCTGACAATGTTTTTAGCTGTCAACAAATGAATTGAGTTTTGTCCTGTCAGTTTTGTCACCTACAAAGTAAAATTTTTATCAGCAAAATTTAAAATCATGTGATTTGTTTTGTTAAAATTGTTGTATTTACCGTACTTTCGCGGTCGTTAACAGTTATTTTGTTCACTCTGTTCCATGATCCATTTACTGAGATATTTGCTGAAACTGTCTGAATTACAGGGCTGCAGGTAAACTTTTCAACCCATTCATTTCATCAATTGCACCCACAGCTCTGTCCAGAATCACATCATTTGCTTCACCAATTAGCTCCTCCTTGCAAGCAAGAGGTGCAGACTTAATATTGCCAGCTATTTCATTAGCATTGAGCACTCTATTGATCAGATGTAGTATCCGATCACTGTCTGAATTTAATTCTCTAGAGAAGCTCTCATGAGTGTTATAATAGTCATAATCTCGATTTTTTGGCAAATCATTGGCTGCTTTTGTTGCCTCAACGAATGTACGAAATCCATTCTGATATAAAAATAAAAATTAATCTTATTTTGACTGCTTTTGAAAGCATTAAAAAACGCATGTGGTAACACATGGTGTTTAGGATAACCTGAAATTAGCTTCAGAGTAAATTTTAATATTACCTTAATAAAATCATCTAGTTTGCATGTCTCGGGAGCAGACTTCGAATCCATGTTTGTTGTTCCAAGAGAAGTAGATGTCATAACAATTTATACGTGTAACAATATAATTCAGTGTTGAAATATTTCGTGTAAACTTATTCCATGCTTAACAACTGGACTCTCCTTAGCAAGTGATGCAAACAGTTTTTAAGATAGGCAACTTATTACACATTATAATTGAAATGTTTCAAAACTTAACTTTTCATTAAATTTTCCTGGAATTCAAACTACTATATAATGCAAATGTCCCTTGTTTCCTATGCATACAAAAAATTAATAAACCCTTAAACTATCACTAATTATAGTACATGTCTATTTCATAAATTTGCAGAATTTAGTAGGAGTAGCACAAAGTTTAATATCAAATTACATTTTAAACATTATTTGCAGAACATCATTAAAACTCGTTACAAACTATAACGATTTTAAAAGATGACTTACTTTACTGAGCTAACCGAGCTTATGACGGCTATCCTTGTGGGAGTCCTGTTCTCAATTTTCATGAGTGCGTTTTTTATTTTGGTGGTAATATTGCAAAGGAAAACTCGCAACGGAATATCATATTTTTCAAAGAATAAACAAAATTACAACAAGTAAGCCATAAATCCTTTTCTTATACGACTATTTTACAACGGTTACCTTTAATTGCGTTCGTGGGATCCTCAAATGGCACAACTTGTAGATGTATGTAATAATCAATATATTTCATTTATTTAAATACTGCAAGACACGCACTAATTGTTTGATTTTATGGTTCAGATTGCAAAGTTAATAACTTTACGAGTTGATCAATTCATAAGTTGTATGCGGCCACCTTTAAATCCTTCAATTCTGGAAGCAAGAGCAGCTTCCTTGACTCTAACAGTTACACACCTTGCCATTATGACTCAATATGAGTGCCGCAGCGATAATTTACCAGCAGAATGGATTTCCAAATTGTTGAATAACATTCAGAAACATATTGATGTGAGTATGTCTTCAAAATTATTGTTATACTCTTTAACATACTAGCACTTACCTCTTTGCTCATAAAATAATTTAATTTTTTTTTTCAGTTATTAAATTGTGAAACTGAGAACTTCTTTCATTCAAAGCAAAGCATCCAAATTCTGAATACTCCAATAAGTATTTAAAAGTATTCACTGCATAAACTTACTGCAACAAAAGTAATAAAAGAACTCCTTATTCAATAGTCTATGCATTTTATTTACTTATTAATCAAAGCCAGATTAACTTTCTTCCATTGGGCAACTTGTGCTTGTAATAATTCAACAATTTCCTGCTCCTTCTTCTCATGATGTTCCACCAACTCATCCATAACATTTGAAGACTCATGTTGAATCCATGTAACTGGTGTGCTGGTCGCGTCGTCTTCGATTGTCCGCTGAATCGAATTCACGATTTTCTTTGGAGAGACATTTTGCGCAAAGAACGCATCACTGGTCAAGACAAACTTAATATTGGACGGAATACTCTTCAATTCAAGTCTCTTCAAAATTTGGCAACTCTTAATATCCCACAAAATAATGCTAGAATCTTCTGAGGCAGATGCAAGTCTTGTATTGTATATATTTAAATCCAAAGCAACAATTTTTCCTTTATGGCCAATAAACTCAAATGGATCTTCTTTTACATAATGTTCTGTGGTTTTTGAAGCTAAAGATAAAGAAGTTTTTTGAATGCTACCTTTAGAAATCCCCACATAAATGTTAAAACAATCCATTGTTAATGCAGTCAAAGGATTTGTGTATACAATCCAATGAGACAGAGGCAAATCTGGATTTGAAACCAAATTTTTCAATATGCATATCAGTTACTGCCAATGGGTGATCCATTCTTTTATAAACTGGTTCCAGTTGCTGTATATCTCTCTGTGCTTTGTTTCCACTGTTGCTTATTAATAAACTGAACTGGTAGCAAACAATCATGCCATCTTGTCCAGCAACAAGTAAGCACTCTGAACCAGATGAAAATTTTATGCATGTAATAGGCTGATAGTGCACAGATTGTACTGTGAGCAACATCCCTGTGCATAATTCCCAAACATAGAGTTTTGTGCCTATGCCAGCTGCTATAAAATTGCCTTTGGGACATACCTGTAAAACAGTGACTGGTTCTGGCAACACTAAACGCACGTTCTTCAGTGTTTCTTGACTGTTCAGCGCCCACAGATGTAGAAGAGGTTTGGCTACCTCTGCAGTGATAACATAGTCGGCTCCTATCAGGTTTAAGGATTTTTCTTTAACACTTCCACCATGCTTGTAAATCTGCAGAATGTTTCCATTATTATAATCCCAGAAACAGCATGAAATTAATTGTGCATTTTGAGCTTGTGATGAAAGAAGTAGTTCCTTTGCCATTTCAAATTCCTTTTGATATACGTTATTGACTATTGTTATTTAAAAAGAAAAAGTATGTATTAACTTTTTCACGTGTTCTTCATGTGAAGAGAAAACTTTGGTTAGGTTAAAACAAAACAATCAAGCAAGTTTAAGTCGGTTATGTATGGTTACTTAATCTAGTTCGCATAAAAACAAAATATTAATAAGAAACAAATAAATAAAACCAATTAACAACGAGATAACTAGGATTTACTTATCATTCAAGAGTTGAAATTTTTGAAAAACTCAAAATGCATCGCCAAAGGCTACCTTCACACAAGATGTGAAAATTCACGTTATGCAGAGTGCACAATAATTCAAATGACTAAATAATTAATGACTAAAACGGTAATAACGGAAATTACATGTGAGAAGGAGTTAAAAATCTATTTTTCTTCATTTCGTTAGCAAAAAACATTCATTAGAGTTAAAATTTAAAATGCCGATTGGGCAAAACAAGTTAAAATCTTAATTGCATCATGCCTCGCTTAAACGTATTAAATTCCAAATTGGAATACGTTTACACTCTTAAAACTAAAACTGATATAATTTTTTGTAAGACAGTTACAATCTTGGCAACTTATCTATTGTTGTGGCAAACTCGAAGTCCTTCGGGAAGAGCTGCGCAGCTTGAGGGTACATCAACCTAAAAGCCTGCCGGATGGTGCCAATAGCAACACCGGTTATTTCTTCGATTTGTTTTGCGCTGCGTTTGTCCTCAGAAGCCTGCATTAAAACAACAAAATCAAGTTAAAATTAACACATTCAAGACCTGTGTCACCTGTGAAGCCATGTAAATAGCTGCAGCTGCAACAGAGATGGGCGAACGTCCAGATACAATATCCATCTTTACCGCCTGTTCAGCAATATCCGTTGCTACCCGTTGCACCTTGTACGGTAGTTCCAAATTCGAACCAAACCGCGCCATAAAATCCCCCGATGTAGTCGAATCTACCGATATCTTCAATACTTTCCGAACGTAATTATAACAACGACTGCTCTCCACTTTGCTAACCATACTAACAGCACAAATCTCCTTAAAACCTCGTGGTACCCCTTCCTGCCTGCAGGCTATATTCAAACATGCCGCTATAATGCCATCGCTTGAGTGACCCCGTAAATGTTTGCCATCCTGCACTCGCTTAAACAAAACATTCGCTCGATCAACAATACAGCTGGGCAAATTCATTTTATCTGCCATTGAAGCAATCTGTAGAAAACCGTCCTCAAGTGTCCTGTTCGTGCTTGTCAATGACTTACGATTTCGATATTTTGGCCCACCGATTTTAAATTTAGAAGGGCCACTCGGACTAGGGCCTATTATGGTGGTTAGATCCGATCCGCTACGATAGGGCTTTTCAGGTGCACCAACACGAGAGCGTTCTGTACTAGACTCCTCATTATTGAAAGTCCGCCACTCTGAGCCACGATCTACTACTCTGTAAAGTTATTTCATTTACAAATATGAGTGTACCTGGTATAAATGAATAACTTGGTAGAAAAAAATTGAAAAGAAAAATTTGTTAATAATCCATACTATACACACGTTGGTGATTGTTTCTATATTTGATAGTATTGTACAATCAAATGATAAATACCTGTGCCCGACAACTAAACCACAATCAGAGCATATCTGGTCTCCTGCACTGGAATCTTCAATTAAGGCAGCATCTGGATGTAACGGACAAGCATCAGATCTATGAAGACAATAAAAACAAGCATTTCAGTTTAAACATACCCATATTAATGTAGAAAAAGAAATAACACTTTAATCAAGAACTAGTTAACTTCTAGATTACAACCACACAAGTGATTATATTAATTGCTAGCGCTCTGCCTTGGTTATGCACGGAAATAATTTCGAAACAAAGTCTGCTTAGAAAAAAGATTTTAGCTTTCATGAATACTTTTTAACTCGATATGCGCTCACATGCAAATGATAATTTAATGCAAATAAATTCTAGCACTCTCATCTCATAATTTACTCTTTTCACAAATTTTCTAAAAGCATCTTAGCGGATGCATACATTATAAAATAATGTTGCAAATTATTTATTGACTTAGTAGTAGTTTTGCCTGTCCGTTGGTAATCACCCAATATAAATAATTAATGCAATTAATTGCAAAAAAACGCATTGTAGTTTAAAATGTTTATGTGTTATGTGCAATTTACAACCACCTCAAATTGTTATCATAGAGACTATAATATCAAGAGTAAAAAGTATCAATGGTACTCTTCTTACTTAGTGGAAGTCGCCATATTGTTACACCTAATGTTTTCATTTAACTACAGAAGACTATCGCCAATTCAATAAATTGTAATCCACTGAATATTCTTTTGTACTCTACCATACTCTACGTTTCGATGATAACGTAGGGATTGTAGGTTATCATCTGTAAATACGAGGACGCGATGTTTTTAAGTGGGGCAAATGTGCGACTTAACGAATATGAATTATAGAACATAAGGCATTTTATAAGATATACATAATGAAGCAATCAAATTCCTTTACCCAAATTTTTACAAAAGTGTTTTCATTTGGTCGTAAGTACTTAAATTGATGAATTTTCCTTAAAACAAAAAGGCTCTAAACTGACTTTTTGAAACACAGCTTAGTTCTGGCAAGTGAAATAGAGGCCGCCATGTTATGAGCACAAAATGGGATATCAGCCGAATCGACTCCGTACTGTTGCTCTGACCAAGCAATGCGCAGGCGCGCGTTCAAGTCCTTAAAATTAAAAGAAATATAAGGCCGTAGCTGGGACATCGAGCTGTTTTAGAACTTTCATTAACAAACAAATGAAGAAAAAAAACATTAAAAATCCCAATGCTAAACCTACTCAAAGTTAAGAACAAATAATATTTGGTAGGAACTAAGAACACCCGCCTTAACACGTGTTGCATGTGTCAACCTGTTTGTATATAGATATGTGACACACTGTATAATCTACGAACAAACGGGTTAGATCTGGTAAAGCTTAAAATCAAACAAGAACTAAAAGACTCACATATAATCCCAGAAAAAGTAAACAATTATGCACGGAATAAAATTAATATGCATAAATATCTGTTTATATTCATTAATGCCAGTAATTTCGCAAAATACGGCAAACATTCACGGCCCAGGATTGGATCCAATAAATATTATTTTACCCGCCCGCTACTTCAGCATAGTTTTAAATGAAAACTCGAACAAGTAAGTTACTTTGGGTTGCAGTATTAATGTAATAATGTAATTATTTAAATTGAAGGAGCAGTGCCATTGAATTTAAAGCCAGAGGACATGCATTCAACTCAGGGGATACAAAAAGGCCCTGCAGAGTATGGCACAACATACTAAATAGAAGAGATGGTTCATTCATTGCCAGATATAAACTGTATGAGGAATGCATTAATTTTCAACTAGAAGTTACCCAAGATGGTGTTCATCTAGGAGGATCTCCATATAAATTTGGAAAGGCTGTGATCAAGCATGAAATGTGTAATTGTCCTAGAGATTTCAATCACTGGTTAGTTAAAAATCAGTGTGGGGATGTTCCTGAACAAGTTCAAATGGATCTGCAATATTTTCGTAATATAAATTGGGCAAAGTTAAGATCTCAAGTAAGCAACTCTCCTAGAAAGTCTTTTTTACATTCATTATCTGTTTTTTTTTAAGGTCATTGAACGTTTTAATAAACCGGAAGCAATAAGTATCTGTCACTACGTGATATCGGACAATCGCCTCTACCGAAAATGTTATGGCGAACACGTGGGCTTCAAAATGTTCACGGACAACATCCTCTTATTCCTACTACGGAGAATCAAATTTCCTGACATGGAGTTCATGACGAATCTGGGCGATTGGCCGCTTGTGCGAGAAAAGGCCGTGCCAGTTTTCTCTTGGTGTGGAAGCGAAGACACTTATGATATTGTCATGCCCACGTACGATATTACACAAGCGACCCTCGAGAACATGGGCAGGGTTACGCTGGATATGCTCTCAGTACAAGGAAACACGCCGAGACAATGGGATGAGCGAGAAGCAAAAGTTTTCTGGCGCGGCAGAGACTCGCATCCGTCTCGACTAAAATTAATTGACATTGCCAAAGAACATCCGGAACTATTCAATGTTTCCATGACAAATTTCTTCTTTTATAAAAACAAGCAGGAGAAATATGGGCCGAAAAGTCCGCATGTTTCGTTTTTCAAGTTTTTTGATGTAAGTAATTAACCAATCATAACATTCACACTGTCTTATAAAACGGGTTTGTTTTAGTACAAATTTCAAATTGGCATTGATGGAACTGTGGCCGCATACAGGTTTCCGTACCTTCTGGCTGGTGGTTCTCTTATTTTTAAGCAAACTTCGAAATATTACGAACATTTCTACCACCTCCTCAAACCAGAGGAACATTACATTCCAATTGAAGAGGATCTAAGCGATTTGAAAAGCAAGGTCGATTGGGCCGTCAATCATGACGATGAATCTCAACAAATGGCAAAAAATGCTCAAGAATTCGCCAATAACCATCTCCTTCCCAATGATATAATTTGCTATCACGCGCATCTTTTTAACGAGTACAGTAAATTATTATCTGGTGATAATTCCTTATTGGATGGAATGGAGGAAGTTCCACAACCGACAGAATCTCAAACGTGCCAGTGTCTTCCTGATCAATTAAAAGATGAATTGTAAATTTTATAAACAGGGTTTGTCCTGATTCACCCTGTATTTTTTTATAATGGATTCAGCAGAACAAAAATATATTAATAACGTAGCAATAAACAAACACGCTAGGTTCCATTAAATTAACGATATATTCGAAGGAACGAAACTTACTGTTTGCTAATGAATCCATATTATTAGTTATTTATAAAATTAAATCATAAATGCAGTCGTTGAACTTGAGAAGTTGCTATGTACACACGTGTATCTACAACTGCACTATGATTTTATAATATTGCCTAGTGCAATAAACGCCCGTGAATCAATTTGTTTAAATTTTTTTCGCATAAATGTCCGATATTATCAAAAATAGGTTCAATTACTCAATACGCAAAATCACATAGTATTCTATTTACTAAACTATAGAGCAAGCATCGTTGCCAAAGACGAGCGTTCGAAAATACGCATCAATTTCGCTTTAAAAGTCCGAGCGTTCACATACTAAGTTGCATTTCACTGTTTACAAACCGCAATTTGTACTAATGAAATATGAAATGCAATCTGGGTTGATCATTAACGCAAAGCTCCTAAGATAGAATCTCAAATACTGAAAATTATCTACGTTTGCAAAACAGGCGGGGTTTTACAAACTCTTGACGAAACATCGCCAAACGCTATAATTAAGTTAACCGCGTTAATCACTAAAGTCTGTCACGCGTCCGAAACTGGCAACTATTTAAGATATAAATAATTATCACAAGTTAATTTTTTTGCTTAGCATTCGCGAATAGATTTCATGCACCGAAAGTCCTACTTGTGAATTCACTAACATAAACACCACATCCAGATGGATATGCGCGCGCTCAATGCGGCAAAGTGTGTGTCATGATCGGGAATGACACCATCGGTGCGGTGGCGTTTGACATTGCGAGCGTTTGCGAAGTGTTAATGCCGTTGATCTGCGTGCCTCGAGCACCAACATGCAGTTCAATCTGCTGGCTCGGCGTTAGATTCTGTTGGGCCAGCAATTGCTGGCTGGTACTGGCCAATGCCAACTGTTGGCTGACGTTTGCCGCAACCGCCAACTGTTGTGGTGTATTGGCCAGCGCTAATTGCTGAGCCTGAGATGTAAGCTGCTGAGTGGTGTTGAGCGCAGTGCTTGCCAAGGCGAGTTGCTGCGCCTGAGATGTGAGTTGTTGTTGGGTATTATTCGCGGCGAGGGCCAATTGCTGAGCTTGCGAAGTCAACTGCTGGTTAAGCTGCTGAGCTTGATTTGAGAGTTGTTGACCGAGCTGCTGCGCGGCTTGCTGCGCTTGGGCAATCTGCTGACTGCTGCCGATGGTGGCCTGAGGGGTTTGTTGTGGCATGGAGGCGAGTGCCAACTGTTGATTGGCAAGTTGTTGCGCCTGAGAGGTGAGCTGCTGCGTAGTGGTCGCTAAGGCAAGCTGCTGCGCTTGGGACGTTAGTTGGGGTTGTGCCTGCTGCGCCGCAAGATTGTTGGCGAGGTTTTGCTGGGCAATCGCCAACTGCGCTTGAGAACTGTTCGCAAGAGCGAGTTGTGTTGACTGATTAGTTGTAACTGCACATATAAAAGCATTTATAATTAATTTAATTACAAGTATGACTTAAAATTATGCGCGTTACCTAAAATTTGTTGACTAGGGGCCAAAATTTGGGCCGCGGGTGCAATACTGACTTGGGGGCAACCCACAGAAACAGGATTGCACGTAGTCACTGTGGCCAAGGAAACAGGCACGGTAGCAACGCTTGCGGCAACCGTGCGCAAAACCTGCCCTTGGCTATTCTGTGACAAAGTATTCGTAAGGGTGACGGGCGGCATCGATACCGACCCGTTGCGTTTACCTGAGACTCTAAGAGTCGCGTTTTGATCGAGCAGGAATTCATTCGTAGCGGTCAAGTCTGAAACCTGTTTCTTCAGTTGCGCAATCTCCTTGTGCAATATACTATTCTCCTCTTCCAACATGAGCATTCTCGGATCAAGCCTGCTTAATACTTGTGGTGGGTTTCCCGGGAAGTACCCTTTAAATCCTCGATTGCAATGCAGTCCATGTAGTTCAGGCGAGTCCAAGCCGTTGGAAATATAGCGTCGTTTGGCTGCTGTGGGGCCATACTCATCTAATTCCTCCAAGGACTGCACTGGTCGACCAAGGATCGTCGCGCTTTCATAAATCTGTGTCGGTTGTGCATCCATCACCAAGGGTGTGCTCGGGACAACATGGTTTCGGTTGTTATTTTTAATAAGTCGCATTATCTCGGCATCTTCCTCCTCTTTGCTAATGTGTCGATACTTGCAGTGTGTACGACGGCAGGTACCCTTACGGAATGAATTACAGATCGGATGAATTCCCGGCAATTGGTTTTTGCGGGTGGCTTCTGTCAACACCTGGATGGACATTGCACCCGTTCGTTTATAATCGTCCACTTCGTCTGGTGTGCAATGAATAAATCTGAAAATATTTATCTTTTATAGCAATTTAAATTGCTTATGGTGAAATATAAATCATTTTTCAACTTCATAGAAAAAAGCGTGATCGCTATCTAATTCTTTCAACTAATTAAATTATGTTTGCGCATGAATACAATTTACCAAGTCAATACAATACATTAATTGACTTTCAAGCTGATAGTCCGTTTTATATGTTGAAAATAAATTATATAACGTATATATAATTTATATACGTATAAATATACGTACTTGCAAGCCTGCCGTGGACACGAGGAATTCTGAAAGTCGTGGCAAAAGCTGAGCGAGCGCGACTCGTACTCATGCTTATACTTGCAGAACTGGCGTTCACACATGCCGCGGAGGAAATCTCTGCACACGCTATCGCAGCCGTGGCTGCCATCCTGTGGCGACGACTCTTCCGATGTGTCGGACATGGTGATCGAATTTTTCTAGCATAAATAAGAACCTGCAAAAATCGTAAATACATAAATCAACTTTTCGCGCACAGCATGCTAGAAAATTTTAGCATAACAAGAAAATCGTGTTTACATAAAAGGCGATCCGAAATTGTTTTACTTAACAAACAAAAAAATACTTTAACCAAAAACCAAACATGATAAATTTTAAATTTTCTTGAAACTTCAAGAAATTCTCTTGAAAGTTAATACATTTGTATTTAAACAGACGTGTTAAGCATATTTGTTTTGGATTTTATTCAGGGGACAAAAAACAATGTATGGCGCATGTGTTACAAGATCGGTTGCTGCTGGTGGCGGCAATATAAATATAAAAAGACGCCTGAAACCGCCCTCAGTTTTTCCTGCGCAACGCAACCATGGCATCGAAGCTGTACCTCTTTTCGTTTATACTCTTTGTTTGCACTGCTTACTTGCAAGCGTTGAACGAAATACCTGGCGAAGAAAACTGCGAAACTTTGCCATCGGAAATTCATTTAATCAAAGGTTAATTTTTTAATTAATTTAAAATTAAATGCAGATAGCTAAAATGTGTTTTTAGAGGAATATGACGAATTGGGAAGACTTCAACGAACTTGCAATGGGGAAGTGGCTGTGAACAAATGCGAAGGCACTTGTAACAGTCAAGTACAACCATCGGTTATTACACCAACTGGATTTTTAAAAGTAAATATTAATCAAATTTTCATATTTTGATATGACGAGATGATGCCCTACACAATATCAACCTTGACTTCATTGTTTATTTCCACTGCAGGAATGTTACTGCTGCCGCGAAAGTTATCTGCGCGAGCGTGTGATTACGCTGACTCATTGTTACGATCCTGACGGAATGCGGCTGACAGCCGATAGCCAGAAACAAATGGATATCAAGCTGAAGGAGCCGGCCGAGTGCAAGTGTTACAAGTGCGGCGATTTCAGCCGCTAATTTTGCCACCGAGTCGCGAAATACGCGCGCAACTTCAGCAAGCCATAACTGATGCCATTTCTATGTGACATGCTTTTGTTATTTTGTAAAATGCCCAAATAAATGTCTTATTAATTTAACCATAGTTTAAATACATTCCGTCAAATAAAAAATTGAAATTGTTATTAGAATTAAAAATATCCTGAACTTAAGATTCATCATCTTTCCTTTGTAATCTACATGTAATATACAGTAGAGTCCGGTTATAATGACATCGAAGGGAATTGACAAACACGTCATAATAAGCGGACGTCATACAAAGCGTTTTGTGAAATGAAAACCCTTTTTTGTGTAAATATGTACATATACATACATATTAAATCAAAATCAAAATTGCACGTAATCAGCACATTATAACACATTCAAGTGTATTTTTTACTGCAAGTAATCTGTAATTTTTGTCTGCTTTTGTTTTTTTCATTTAATTAATTTTCTTGTGATTTTCGAAGCCTCTTCGGTTTCAAAACATTTGAATTGAACGATTGCTTAATACGGTTATGGTTCTTTAAAAAGCATTGAGATTGTCGAATGACCCACGCCAAATTCGGATTAATGGAAAATACGGATTAAGTCGTGGTCAAGGTGCTGCTGCCCGAATGCTTATATTTATTATTTAAGCATTTGGTCTTTCCGATAGTAAATACATAAATGTAATTTGACAATCATAAAAAATGTAGCAATAAATATAAAAAGTTCGCCACGTGTCGAACGTCGTCGGGTATCAACGAACATTACCGGAGGTGTAAAGAATCATGTTGGTCATTATAACCGAACATAATCTATTAAAAATGGGTCATAATAAGCGACATGTCACTGTAAGCGAAGTCATTATATCCGACTTTTTTATACAGAATTTTATATGAAAACCAAACTTGGTAGTGTTGTTACGTCATAATAACCGGTTGGTCAATATAAGCGGAGTCATAATAAACGGATTCTACTGTACTTCTAATTATTAATAAAAAATAAAATATAAACAAATTAACGAATAACCTGCTTAGTCTTCTTATAAAAATGAAACTTTTGACCTTACCTAATCTATTGGTAAATTAAATCTTTGGTGCAATTCGAGACTGGTGGCACCCTCGACGTTCGCCAAATAACCAATGACTGCCTGTGCAAAGTCTTTCATTTCATTGTAACGATGCAATGCGTGAATCTCCTCTTGATTGTAATCTCCGCTTGTGGATATATTGTTGCCCAGCAATAGACGCAACTTTTCGTCGGCAGCAATAAGCTCCTGCTTGTAGAGTTGCAGCTGGCCCAGGTCAAGCTCGTTGACGTCCTTCTGCGGCGGCAGCGACGCACCCACCATAATCAACCATGCGGACCTGCACGCACAAAAAACACGCAACTTGTTTACACGAGAGCATAAATAATGGATTTTCGTGTTTCCCGGCTGACATTGGAAAACACTAAGTGTTTAAATAGCAAAAGAACGTGAAGAAGCTGGCCGCCCGCCGCGCTAACAGGCCGCATCTAAGTGCTTAAAAGGGCGCCGGGAGCGCACGGACTGTTTACATGTTATGTGCATGTTCAAGTTCAATCGATGCGTTCTCCTGGCGCTTTCGTATCGTCGTCGTTTAATTTTTCCTCTCACTAGGCAAGCAAAGGTTTTCTTTAGAAAATCATGTTAATACCAAAACCACACTGCTTGTGAATGATAGCTTGGTAGCTATGGATGGAAGCTTTATAAGCTCTGCAACATGATCTGGCCAGTGGAGTCTAGAATTATACCCAAAAGTGGTAACACTAGCAGTGATACCCACATGCATCATGTGTGGCTTTAAACTTGCAAAAAGTTTAGGTAATGTTAAGTCATTATAAACTGAAAATTTGATTACTAAAATTGCATTGTTAAATTAAAGGAAGTAAAATCAAATACACAATTGTATTGATAATGGTATCAAGCATGTGCCTGGATCCCCGGATGACAAAAGGCACCACCTCAACAGATGAGTGTCAGGTTACACCAGTCATCCATGTCTTGCAATACCCAGGATGTGTACCAAAACCAATACCGAGTTTTGCGTGCATCGGCCGTTGTGCATCATATTTACAAGTAACTATATTAACACTATAATTTATCTTAATGTTCAAGACTCACCTTAACTGCTTGCTGAACCCCTTGTGTTTTGCACACTGTTTACCCAGCCAGCTTAGATTGTTTTGTTTTCCAGGTGAGTGGCAGCAAAATCTGGCAAATGGAGCGTTCGTGCATGTGCTGCCAGGAATCGGGCGAACGGGAGGCCTCCGTTTCTCTTTTCTGCCCGAAAGCCAAGCCTGGAGAGAAGAAATTCAGAAAGGTGAGCGCGCACAACACAAACAGGTCGCTTGCTACGTACCTACCTTAATGAAATTTGATGTCCGTGTTGTCGGTGAGGTTATGCGCTGCGAACAACTCTGCTTACACAACGCGCCTCGGAACGCGAAGCCCAATGCGTACGCGAGCGGTGATTAACGGCTCGACGTTAATTAAAGACGTGCGAGGGGACAGCACAAATTACCGATCCGCACAAACACACAAAGACGCCATTATCACGAATCATTAATGGCCGCCGATAAAACAGTGTGCGTCGACCTTGCCTGGGCACCGACGTGTGACGTAGGCAACCGCCGCGAATTTTAAAATCGCCCACTTTGCATTTGTTTCACACGCTACTGCTATATACCTTTGTACCAAACAGCATCATTTGTTCGTTTCACAGGTATCAACAAAAGCACCGCTGGAGTGTATGTGCCGTCCGTGCACTGGAGTTGAAGAGAGTGCTGTGATTCCGCAAGAAATCGCCGGGTATGCTGATGAAGGTCCGCTGTCGAATCATTTTCTTAAATCGCACGCCCAATAATTTCGCAGGTGGTATTCTTAGTTATTTTATGTGTTACAACAAAAATGTGTTCATGTTCTAGTCCCAAATTACCAAAATAAACAATTCTCTATGCTGCAAATACGCATTTAAAACGTTTCATCCAATTGAATTCAATTATTCTTATTTTTGAACGTTTACTGTCATTTTATTTATATGGGAAATACCTGCCGAATAAGTCGATATTTCGCTGAGTTTTCTGCAATCATAAATGTACATAAGAAAAGCAAGAAATAAAACACAAACGAACTTTCTTGATAAGTTTACTTAAAACGTTTCCACTCTCGTTCACAGTTCGTCTTCACTAATTTACGCGATTTCGCTTTCATCTGAATCCGTCTCCGAACTCCCGACATTTCAAACGTCACTTCACCGTTCCGAACCAATCAAAGAATAATTAAAGAAAAAAAGATGTCACATCATTGATCATCAGAATCATTTTGTGACTACCTTCATCTTTCCTTGTTACAAATTTCGTATTTTCGTTAAAGTCTCTCAAGATCCATTCATTTATGATTTAATTCCGTCATACAAAATCCTATCTGTTTACAACAGTTTGATATTCATCGTGTCTTCATTCAAGCATCGATTTGTTTAAACATTAGTTTCGGGCTAATTTCTGTGTTTAAATTGTTCCTTCAAACGCGCCGCAGTTTGGTGCGTGCGTTCGGTTTCTCATTTTCGTTCAGTGAGTTTGCGGCCAGTTGCATGTCAACATATTCGGCTAATTATCAACAACATCCGTACGCAAATAAACATCAGATCAGCGTCTGCACGTTGACGAGAACAAATTCCCATTTTGTTTAACTATGTACAAGTAATAGTGAATAACATATCTCAATCGGCGCGCATTCTGCGCGAGTACCTCGTCGCTCGCAACTTGTAATTACAATAATCATTTGTAGCGCGGAGTAAAACTCGTCTGCTTGCGCAAATGTTTAGTTATTTCTCTGAGCAATGGTACTTATGGTAGGTTGTCACCTCGTCTTTTTACAATGCCAACAACCTGGAAGTTCATATTCATTATTTAGTAGCTTTTCTATGTACAATTATACACATCATCAGTCAGAAAAATACTGTATATAAGTTTTCGGTTGCATCTTGTGACCGTCTTCGACGCGCGCGTATCGCTAACACAAAATTGAACAGACAACAAAACGAAAATCATATATACAATATTCTGCGTCCTACCAAACGTGTAGAATTCGTTTCGGCATCTCGCTATCGACAGGGCGCTGCATTTTCCGCGTGCCTCGACCTGCGTCCGCACCAATTAAAGGCAATTGCGACGCATTTGAAATTCTATGAGTAGGTTACAAACAAAACTGACTAGCACAGTCGCTCCGCGCACGGGACAAATGTATGGTTTCGTCGGACTAAACATTAGAAAAATCACTTACATACATGAACATAAAAAGTTGTATATAAAAATATAAACATTACTTAGATAATGTAGAAAGTAATCGAGTGTGTGAGGGCGTTCGCGAAAGATTTCTTACGCTGAAATAGGCAACAATCGCGAGGACCTGTTGAGACGAGGGTTCTTTCTGTGATCGTGTGATAGGTGGTAGTGTCGCATTGATTCGTCCCCACACTGTTTTCAACAATCGTTTTTTTTTCATTCTCTTGCTTGCTTGCGGCCGACGCAGTCTCGCAAAAATCATCCACAATATATAACTTACAATAACTTAACAAATACAGGTAGTTGTAGGTGGTAGAGGCTAAATCATAATAAACGCTTCTATAACAAATAAAAATAACAAAATAATAGAAGAGTTACAATGATTCATCGGTAGAGACACGCTGGGCGCCTGACGCGCGCCCGCGACACATCTACAAAACATTCGTATTCAAAGTTTCAACAAAAACGACTTAATCAATAAGTTCCCGCATCTCGCACAACCTAATACGGCCCAATAAATAATGGATTTTCAAATGTCAGCGCTTCGCAATTAAATCTTGAATTTAAAAAGAAACATTACCATCATATTAATTAATATAAACATATATTAAAACATAGTAGCGCCGGCAGGCAGTGCACATCTCATAAAAAAAACTTTTTTATCGATTTTTTTTTAGTACAACTGCAAAATTACAGAGGCCCGCGCAGGCACACAGCTCCATCATTCATTAGGCCTAGCTACATAGTCGTAAAACAGTTGAATCAATTTCGTTATGTAGGTCTTTCGCTTGTGTTATCCCTTTAGTTTAAATATATATTTCATATATATATATATATATTTGTTATATAATTATTTATAATTTTTTGCGCTCCATGTTCCAAGTTGCTATATGAAGAGGTCAGTCACAGGGCACTAATATTTAGGTGTTCGATCGCGTTTAGATTAACAGTAGTTCCCGGGCATTTTTACAGTTTTAAACTTGACGCGCACCTTATAGTTTAGAATGCCGTTTGAATTTCATAATATCTAGGAAGTGTCGCAGTCCGGTGTAAGTCGACGCGGTAGCTGCCGCCTACGAATCCCTGTGGTTCCATTTCCACGCTTGGGGGCGGCTATGCTCGCGCCTCACAATTCTTCATTTATATAAAGTATATAATATAATATATATAATTAAATAATTTTTACCATTTTTGTTTTTTGTTTTTGTTAAATATTTGTATATATAAACAATTGTATAAATTTTAACTAGCACAAAGTCACTGTCTTTAAAGAAGTTTTTAAGTTTTTTTGTGGTGTTGCTTCGTGAGGGAGAGAGAATGTGGGGTATGGGGGTAGAGCAAAGTCATCACTATAGAACGTCATGCGCGTTTCACGATTGTGTTCGTTTTTTCGCGTTGTCGCCGTCGAGCACGCATTACTGCTGCTGCTCAATGTGCTTTTGGGCGCCCCGTTGGGTGGCGGCCTGGTGGTGCTTTTTGGTGGCTTGCTCGCTGCGTTTTTATAGTTTTGTAGAGTGTCGACGATCAATTCAGTAACTAGGAGTGCGCCGAGCGCAGTGTTCGTTAACATTCGGCCGCCCATTCAAGCGGGCCGAAGACGATCTGATGCTAGTCCTCCGATGACGAGCCGGACTCGTTCTCCGACTCAGTCTCTTTCAGTTGCGTGAAGAAGCTGGTTAACTGTTTTACAGCAACACCTACACCAAAGGCAAATATACATTAGAAACTATTTCGTGTACACAATTAAAAAACTAACAGCATTGACAGATCAAACTGTCAGGAGAGTACTATCAAACTCCGCTTATGATTAAAGTCGGTGTTAGCGAACTCTCCTAGTTAATTTCGCATCAACCGAACGCTTTTACGTCACTGTAAGTTCGCAACTGCTGCCTGGTTATGCCAATGAGATATTAAATTACAATTTCACATGCATTACATTTCACTAGACTTTTGTAACTCACCTTTGTTTTCTTGTGCAAGAGGATCATCACTTTTCTCCCATGAAAGGAAACTATCATGCGAAATAACACTATCTTCGTATAACGTATTGAAGATTTTGAGTAACAGCCCTGAAAAAATAGCATACCAATAAGTATTGACTTGCTTTGCAACGCGTCTTTAATTCCTAATTACCTGAAGGATGATTTAATTGGTTAACTATCGCTTGAATCGCATACAAGCATTGCAACTCGAACTGTGAATTACTGTCGATATACCTATGCAAGACGCTGTAGTAACCACGGAAAGTGGGTTCATGTAACTTATCGTTGACTATCGAGTTCTTGATGTACGCAGTGGCCAGCGCACGGATGAATTCGTTTTCTTTTTCCTTCTCACCAACGTTCGCCTGTAAAATAATTATATTTGTAAGCATCAATTCAATTAAAACGTAAATCTCAAGTAATTAATTGTTGTGATTGAAAAATTGTCAATCAGTATTGATATTGAATGCAACATAAAGTTGCAACAACATAGGAAACTGATTCGGTATACTCTTGCAATATAAAACGCCACAATCTACATCAAAAATTAGAATGTGGAGCTGGAATTGCTTTTGTAATAAACAATATCATAAGTGACTTACAGTTATCCATTTGTATACTTCATCGGTCGAAGCCTTCGATTTAACGAATTGATTTAATTTATCATTAATTTCCTTATAAGATAAATTGCTTTGACTCGCCGAGGGATTACCGCCACCTCCGGTCAGAAACTCAAAGCCCTGCAAAATGTAATATTAAAATTAGTTTTATATAATATTAAACTTTAAAATAAATAAATGTTAGAAAAGTACTATCAAACTCCGCTTATAATGAGAAGACGGTGTTAGCGAACTTTCCTCGTTACTTTCGCATCAACCGAACGCGTTTGCGCCACTATAAGTGCACAACTGCTGCCTGGTTATGCACAAAAAGTACTTAATTACAGTGTCCAATACTTACATTCTTAGTAATAAATTCATTGACCATCGATGGATCCATCCAATCGTTTAACGTTAATCCGGACGAATTCCATATGCTTGCCAGCTGAGCAGGTCCTTGCTCCTTAATAGCTAACGTAAAGATCGCCGCGAGTAGTCGATGCGCGTGACCCTGCAGGCATTCAGCGCACTTGTGGAGGCTTGTTAGAGGTAGCACTTGTGTTATAATAGGATTTACTAGAAAAGAAAACAATTAATGTATACTTAATTCCATCACAGAGATTGACAATAATAAAATATGTAATAAATTGTCGGGAAGAGCACAATCAAACTCCGCTATGTTTAAAAAACGAAGTTAGTTAAACATCACCGTTAATATTGCAAAAACCGAATCACGTTGCGACACTGAAGTTCGCAACAGTTGTCCAGGTGATGCCAATAGGTTTAAAAAAATTAATTACAATATAACTTACTTGTTACTTGGGCATAGTACATCCAGATTTGTGGAATATCTACAATAAGGTCTTCGGCGCTTGAAAAGATTTCCTTCAAACCGGCGCAATAGCTTTCTAGAGATATGGTTTGACACTTCAGGAGATGACTGCACAACACTCCCACCTTTTCTCGGGCTGTCTGCGATCGCTCCAAAATACCAGTAATGCTGGAGAGTAAATGCATGCATTAGCTTTGTTTACAGCTTAAATCGAAAGAGTTCTTTGCAAAACATGTGTAGAATGGTTGACTATCAAACCCCATTCACCGAGTAAACTCTAATGGTGTTAGCGAAACCATCACAATAATTTCGCACAGAAGAAACACCCAGAATTTATATTGATCAAAAAAACAGGCGGTGATTCTGTGCGTAGTAAAAACATAATAAAATATATGATACTTACATTATGCTTACAAATTGTGCGTGAAGAGTTGGGTTAATGGATAGCCGAACTTCGGTGTCGGTGTCTTCGAGGTTGGCACAATCGCTGATGTACTCATCTACAATGTTCTTGATCCGCCGCTCAAGCTTCTCGGGCGTGAGGTCTTCGTACACCTGTGGTGCTGGCACTTTTTGTGGCGGTTGCTGTGTAGGTGTCGGCGTGTTTCGCTGTGAGCTTTCACGTTCGCGCTGCTCACCCCTCTCACGCTCAGGCGCACGATGCTGTGATCCAGACCGCGAGTTGCGTCCCTCAAATTTACTATAACCACGCTCCATGCTGTTGCCCTTAGAACTATACGCATCCTTATGACTGCTGCGGTAACCGCCTCGGTTATCCATATTATCATTGGCGGCATCCAGAAGTGCAAACTTGTTGCTATTTGACTGCGGCGCAGCAGTCTTGATATTGGAGCCGCGACTCCAGTTGCTGAATGAGTTACGTGAGCCAAGCGGCTCGTCCACATTCGGCTGCTGGATCTTCAACTTATCTGACTGCACCGTGAATGTGGTGTTTTTACTGCCACGCGATGAAGGCGCCGACAGCCAGCCATCCTCGCTCTGGCCACCACGACGTTTGCCCGAGTTGCTGGAATTGCGATCTTCTTTTCGCGGAGTCATAGGACCTGAGTTCATCGCAGCAATATTCATGTGCTCGTTATCTGCCTCTTTCTGAATCTGTTCAATTGTCTTCGGGTTAAGGTCGGTACGACGTGGCACCCAGCCTCCGGATCGAAGATCAATCACATCCTGCAGCATGAAGCGTACTCGACTGCTTACTTTGCCGTTCTTGCGGTCTACCATGCCACGCATCTGGTCAAAGATTTTCGATAGGTCAACGCTTTTCGCCTCTAGGTCTTTGCCGATGGTCGACAGCAGTTTACACAAGCACTCAAGTCGTTCTTCATCCTCGTTTTCAATCAAGTTGTACAGACATCTAACCATAATGTTCTGTGTGAGCATTTGTTGCTTGAATAGTTCACCTGCAACGATGCCAACATATTATTTTACCATTCAATTAACTTTTTAGATAATAAACAAATTGCGTGCAGCAAAATAATCAGTGATAAAGTTGTCCTCAACGAATGTCGGTCCACTACTTTCATATTAACCATCATATTAAACAACGTTTTAGAAGATCTAAGAGATAGTAAAGCATGAAATACTTGCCTATAAACCGGATGTTTCCGACCGACTTCATTCGTATCCTGCGGTCGTTCTCCTCAAGAGCCATCATCATCTCCTTCTTCTTCTCAGGATCAGGGCACGCCGAAATTTCAACCAGGCGCACGTTGCGATTGCTCTCTTCGCTAGAGTTCTTTTCGAACTCCATTTGACAGCGCGTGACGAGCAGTTTACGGAAGTTAACGAACTCCTTGCTCTCGGCGGATACCGGCACTTGCATGAGAGCCAGCTCTCTGCACATGAGCGCATACGCAACCGAGAAGTTGGGCTCGTTAACGGCCTTCTCAAACACTAAATCTATAACGCCTTGCAGCCTCTCAGTCGTGTCGATCGGCAGCGTTTTGATTTGATTCAGCAGCGTGCTGAACTTTTGCGGCGTCAATTTGTTTAGGACACCACGTACCTTCTTATATAAATCCTGGCGAAGAAACAAAGATAAATCATTCATACTTCATCGATTAAAAACAGCAGAAGTTCTAAAAAAATGCATGTAAACTTACGTCAGTCTTACGGTCGTCATCAGTCTTGACAACGTTCGGGTTCTGGCGGGCGGGTTTCCAGGCGTTCTCAGATTCGTGTAATTTGACGTCCTCTTTGAACGAAATGGAGACGCGAATCATGCTGCCGGACTTGCCACCCTTGGAGTTGCCGCTAGGTTTGCCTTGTTGACTATTGCGTTTTGGAGGCTGTAAACAAATGCAATTATAATTTGGATCAATCGTTATTGTGATACAAACGCAATCATAACTTTTGTTTAAATAATCAGATTAAATAAATCAACACAACTTTTCAGTTCACTACTTTCATCGTTTTATATTTTTTGGAATATCATCATCGAATTATTGTTTAAATTCAGAAGTATTTTAAGCAAGATATACTTACAATTCTAGTGGATTGCGATTTGCCTAAGAAATTAGCATTGCCAAAGCTAGGAGCAAAATCGGTACGTCCCATGGCCGAACCCCTGCCCATGTCACCTCCCATTCTCTGTAGAATGAAACAGAATAAAGTAAATACATGTTACATGGTCTTGTCTTCGTTAACTTACAGATCTATCATCACCAGCCGCAACTTCGTTGAGAATATTATCAGGTTTCGTTTTACTCTTCGGGTAAGTGCGTAGAGCCAACAAGAAATCGCGGCCGTACGACTTCTTTCCCTCTGGATTATTCGGCGACCATTGATCTTCAAACAAAACACAAATTAGTCTTAATTGACAGTAAAATTCTACAAACCCACAAAGGCGTGTAAATTACATGCAAGGACACCGACAATTAATACTCGGTATTTATTCGGCGTAATTAAAAAAAAATACAAAATTTGAAGTCAACTAATGACTACCATAAAAAGTAATGTGTATAAATGCGTGTCAACATACCATCCTCATATTGCAGCGGTTTAATTTCCGATTGATCGTTACTAATGGCAGTCTTGGCGTTAACCTCGTTCTTTGCCTGCACGAGCTTGTCGTTGGATAATGCCGCCTTATCGGTTTCGTCACAATTTTCCACCACCGGCGGCGGCGTGAACGGCTTGGGTAGCTCGCGTACAATGGCAGTTACATCAAACGACGGCTTCGACTCTGGCTTCACAATCGGCAGCGCCTCGCTGGTTTCAATCTTCTTCGCCGGCACCACTGGCGTCTCGTTGATAACGGGCGTCACCACTTCAGGTTGTGGTGGTTGTTGCTGCTGCTGCTGCTGCGGCTCTGTCTGAGCCGGTTGCGCCGGTGCATCGTTTGCATTATGCGTGGTTTCGGCATTAATGCTGAACGCATCCATGTCAGTGCCTTCCTTACTAGCACCCTTCATGTTGAGTTCCTTCATCTTGTTGGCCTTGTTAGACTTAGCCTGTTGAGGTTGTTGGTTGGCAACCGGCATCGGCGCTGGTGGTTTGTTATTCTGGCCCACGGCCTGTTGGCCGCCAGCTTGCTTGGGTTGGTCTTTGCCACGTTGTGCTTGCTTAGATTTCCCTGTAAAACAAGAAAAGTATAAGTTCTAATGTCACCATACACATCGAAAAGCAATAATTACACTAAAATACTGTACTAGTGACAACTATGATCCAAACTCAATGAGAAAGATTGAACAATTGTTATCGCCACTAAATTTGCTTTCGCATCAACCGCCCGCTGTTCTTCCCATCAAGGGGGTAGAACAGCTGTAAAGGTTATGCAGCGACTGTCGTCACTCGGACAAAGTTAACAATTTGTAACCGAGTGGCAAGCGAACGCAAATCGCAAGGACATGCGGCATGGAGTGGAAGTTATCAAGCGCTTATACGGCGAGACGCAAAACGGGTCACACGATGTCACGCGTTTTATCGAATCTGGATAGAATTTTGCAATTACGCCAAAATGAATTCATCAAGCACACACGCTCTATCGACACAAATTGCTACATGCTCATGTTCGAGTCAACTCCAAAACGATGAATGAACACATGCTTTTAAAAACTAAACTCGCCATGGTAACAAGACGCAGAATAACTACATTTACGAAACCGTCGCAAACAGTTAAAGAATAAATAAAGGTAACTACTACTGCTGGCGTATTGATAACGGGCAATTATGTTTGAAAATAAAATTTTATTAGCAAAGCGAAATAAAAACCGGCGCTGAATGTGCACATTTTAGGAATCGCAAATGTAGCAAGCGAACTTTTCACGCATGCGAACCGCGGGTCGGAATTGAAAACAAAAGCATCACACACAGTCCAAGCAACGAAAATAAATCGAATTTGTTTTGTTTCTTTCGCTTCGTTTTCAAATTCGTTCACATTCGTATTTCGCGACTACCAAAGTGAGATGGGATGTTAAAATAGTCCTATCATTTGTAGAATACTCAAAACTTTGGTGTGTAAAACTTAAATCCGCCTCAAAACACACCGAACAAGTAAATTAACTACGTATTCTTCAGTCTAAATATAGAATTTACACGTGTAATTAAATTTGAACTGCTTTTGCGGGTAATTCTTTAGTGTTACACTCATAGTATGCCTTCAAAAAGTCATAAAAAGATGCGCTTTCTTGGCAAGTCAGCAAGAATGTAGACGCTCGTTCGCCGCGACGAGCAACGCGATTGCCGGGCTATATACCTACGGTCGACCAGCGACATTTTTGATGCGGCGCGTTCAGCGCACCTAATCGCCGACAGGCGTTTGTAAAATAAATAAAAAAATCTGCCAGCGAATTAAGTAGGTTGAAACGCCGGCTCGCAAAAAAAAGTCGACAGACCTGCCCAAACGCCGCGCCGGCGATGACGTGTCACAGCACTTTATTCGAAAGACTTAAGACCGAATGTGCCTCCACTCATTCGCCCGTGAAGTAATTTTCGGCGAGCCCGTGCATTCATGCATTCATCGCTAATTAGACGTAATATTAACATAAAGTATAAAAGTTCAACGCGATACATACTGAATTGAATATGGAATGTTTTATTATAATGCTATATCAAGGACGTCGCAACTTTAAACAAACTCATGCTGAACATTCTCAATCAGAATTTTAATTAGAATGTTTGCGAGTTGTCCCACTAAAAGTTAGATAGTTTACATGATTGTATCGAGCTCGGAGAGTTGTTGGTGCAGAGGAATTTGAACACGTTTGCATTTTGACGCATTTCGACACTGGTTGAATGAAAGTTTAAATTTAAAAATGCAAAGGTCGTCGAGTATCGCGACGAGTTGTGTTACGACAGACGGCAGCGCGCTTTCTTGACCTAACCAACGTTCAACGTCAATCAATTATGTTTTTTTCCAGCCTGCGCTAGCGAACAATCCGAACAATATTTTTTCTCATGAATAATTTGGTTCGTTCGTAGAATTAGAATATAATCTAAATCGCATTCCAAAAGCGCTGATTATGACTTGACAACTGGCGCTGGAACTTTTTAAAACATTTTTGATATTAGGAATTTGCAAAATTTAATATTTCGGGGAAACCCACTTGAAATGAGATTATCTGACAATTGACATATGGCTACTAGTTCTCTACACGTGCTAAAAAATTGTACAATAAATCCAGTATCGGCATGTTGCAGGATTTCGATTTCGCAACAAGGTGAACCACACACGCACACGGTCGCACGCTTGTGCGCTTATTGGGACTTTCTAAAAGTGGACCCACGAATGCTGCGCTTGCATACATTACGCTCTGCTAATAATATGTGCGAACGCGAATCGATATGAACGAGACAAACCAGCCAGAGCACAAAAAATCGCCAGCGACTGAAATTATTACATAATCTATTGGGCGTATTGTGCGCGGCTGCCCGTACACATTCTGAACGGGTTACTCATGATGTGCTGTGGTTCGCTTGCATTGCTGCCACGCTTATTACGCATGCGGCTGCTGCAACTGCCGTTTAAGACCGTGCTAAGAAGTAAATGACTAAACATATTGCATAGAACTTGACTGGCACATTCGTTCTGGTCGTGGAATTTGCGTATAAGCTAATTAAAATTATTATTACCCCTATCTAATTGCGGCATGTCCGACCAGCAAACACACACACTCTCTGGGACGTATTCGATGTCGATGTGGGATCACACGCTATTCTTAGACGTGACGAAGAAACGTAAATCGCACACGCGGGGCGCGGAGGAGGCAACGGGCGCGCACACACACACACGCCGCGCGCTCTCTCACGGGGGCCTTCTTATGCACCGCGCAGTGCACCGCGACCAAATACGGCCGAAATAAAACCTCAAAAACGTCTCTATTTCTATTTGGCGTAACACTCGCGCACGAATTTAGATTCGCGTCGTCGACTAGATCATACACTAACTCTTTAAAATAATGCCGGACTACAAATGGCAATGCCGGCACAACAAGAGAGATCAGTCTCTTCGGTTTCTCGCGAGTAAAATTTTGAAATTCTTTTGAGTATTTAAAACTTGCCGACGCACTAATTGTATTAAGTACTAAGTAACACTAAAAAAATGATCACTGCCAGAATCTATTTGGTTGTTTAAAACTTGTCGGCGCTTAGTTGCTGAGTATTTGTTCGCCACTGCGGGGGAAAACTAGGCGCGCAACGCGAAAATGTGCCGCGAGAGTCGACGACCACGTTGCGTGCGACCCATGTGGTCGCCGCGAGTAGGACTGTGCCCCGTCGACAGCCATGTTGGACGAGCGCGGGTCGTTCAGTTCCGGCGCGCCGATCGACAACAGCGCCACCACGTAAGAGTACGGCCAACATACAAACTACAACATATCCAAACGTGCTCGGGACCAAAAAAAATCGGACCAAGCGGCAAATTTAAATCATAGTCTACCGGTCCAAGTAGTTCATGACGTCACGATTGGCGAGAGATAGTTGTTCAGCGAGCCGAGCGGCGTATTATGAAAACCTCGACCTAGCAACAACAGACCGGCGTGGCAGGGAGACAATTTGCATTGCAAAAGAGTGTGTTGTGCGTCGTGTCGCGCGAGTAGCACTTGCCTCATGTTCGAACACGTCGAGAGTATTGACAGAATGACATTACTACTTCCACGCCATTTCTATTGGTACTTTTAAAATGACAGTTGGTAATAGTGACTTCCGGCAAAATACAGCATGCATGTACAACTACTACTAACTACACTAACCAAAACTATGAGAGCAAACTTCGCGAGGAAGGATGAAGCATGCGTGATGTGAAATGTAATGTGTGTATTGTGTGTATGAGATTTAAAGTGTATGAGAAGTACTAGTTTTGTTGTACAGAAGTTTATTTGACTACTAAAGTCACACAAGAGACCATTGATGCACAAACCAAGGACCAGGCGAGTGCGACTCTAACAGCCGTCAGACATTCTGCGGGTTACACTGCGTGTACGTGTCATATGTCGGGTGTCATGTGGTCATGTAGTCGTAAGCAAAGCAAGCAAGTGAAATAGCAGCAGCATTAAAGTGAATGCAATAAACTCACCGCTATTATCCTGATTAACAGCCGGCTGCTGTGCGCCGGCAATCTCGACAGGCGCGACGCTGCATTCTTTTTTAGTCTGCTGCGGCTGCTGATGCTTTTTGTCATCGCGCACAGCTGGCTGATGCTGCTGCTGCTGCTGCACGGGCGGCTGCTCCTTGGCAGAGACAGCCTTCGCGGAGGAGGGTGGCTCGGCAGGCGCCAGCGCCACCGGCGACTGCTCCTTGGGCTTGTCCTCCTTCGGTTTAACATCCGAAGGAGGCGCGGAAACCTCCTTAATGGAGGGCTGGGATGGCTCTTTGGGTGTATCCTTGTGCGGTGCACTCTCCTTCTGACTGGGCGCGGGAGTGTCGCGCTGCTTACGCCCCTTCGCCGGACTCTCGCGGTCCTTCGGCTTACCCGGTATCGTTACCTCGGCCGAGTTCGAGATTGCCGACACGACGGGAGTCTCTTTGGCAGTATTTGATAGGTTATTGGCCGGAACAAAATCATTTGTTGGCACCTAAAGCACACCAATAAAGAATATAAATAATCAATGTCCTAAATAACAAATTCTATAATACCGCTTACCTGTAATTTACTAGATTTAGCTATATCGTTTCTATTATGTACATTTTGTGGAATCTGGTGGAATGGGGCGGGTTGCTGTTGCGGTGGCGGAATCTGTGCCCGCTGAGCGAGAACGGCGGGGTCCATCCCGTGGTGCGGGTCATGCACGACTTCCTCTTCAGCCGCCGCCGAGTCTTTATTGATCGCCTGCGCCACCTGCTTGGCAAACGTGGCCTGCACCTCCTTGACGGAATTGTGCGGAGCAGGCTGGGGCGTCTGACGCGCTGAAGACTCTCCCGACGTCGGATTTTGCAGTTCCTCGTTGTCGATGGGCATCATAGTCGCGGGATCAACAATTGGGATAGCATTGCTGCGCTTTTTCGGTTGCTTCTTTTGCATAGGCGCAGTCATCGCGGTAGTCGCCATCGCCTGTGGCGGTTGTGGGGTGTGCGGCATGCCCTGCGCGACTGGCTGCACCGACGCCTGCGGCTGACGCTGCATCGTCTGATTATAATAATACGGCGGCGGAGCGTACTGCTGTGTGAACATCGCCGGTGCACGATAGTTCTGCAAGTATGGTTGGACAAACGTCGTAGGTCCATGTCCTCCGTACGGGGCGGGGTAAGATGGCATCGGCATATTCAGCACCTGATACTGAGGCACCTGTATCGACGGATGACTCGCATATAAAGCCGGCTGATTCTAAAAAGGAGAACGTCAAAATTATAATACAATTCATGGTATTAAATGTTGCTGGTATGGAATGACACTTACAGGTCTCTGATTAATAAGCCGTTGCGGCTGATTGGACTGTGGCGGACGCTGGAAGTAGTTCTGACCGCGCTGCGGATACAGATTCATCGTCTGCTGCTGCGGCACGTGCTGCTGGACCTTGAGATCGGCGTTCGGCGGCGTCGAGGCCTGCGTCGGCGGACCGGTAGGCGCCATGCCTCTCAGCGGCGGTCCTTGATTGGTGATCTGATTAGGCGGCTGTTGTTGCTGTTGGACGTAAGACCCACCATGAAATTCAGCCCCTGAAACGACAACAATGGATGAGAATCAAATTGCACCAAGAAAATGTCTACATTTGTCTTAATTATACAGAAAATTTTATCCCCCCAAGTTCTTTCATGGCGTGTAATAGTCAAATAACGATATTTCAATTAAGGAATCAATACTAAAATGCAATCGATGAAGTCGACCCCCCAAAATACATCCTGCTCTTTTCAGTCGCCGACAAGAGGTCAATACAAATACCTATCTCTAATTTCATGGAAATTACAGTTATCTTCTTCTTCTTCTTCTTCTTCTTTTGTAGGCATATTGCCTGTTCCTACTTCAGACAGGGTTTAGGTGGTCGCTCCATCTCTTTCGGGGTCTTCCCAGGGATCGCTTTCCCCTTGGCGATTTGTCCCTGGCTATTCGGACTATTCTGGTTTCGTCCATCCGTTCTATGTGTTCGTTCCACTCGATTTTGCGTCTTTTGCACCATTGTGTTATGTCTTCTATGTTGTTGCACGCTCTTCTGATGTCTTCGTTCTTTATCCGGTCGAGCAGTGTTTTGCCATCTATGTTTCTTAGTGTCCTCATTTCCGCGGTGGTGAGCAATCTCTGTGTGGTTGTCGTCTCTGCACGCGTTTCTGCCGAGTATGTAAATATGGGCCTGACTACTTACAGTTATGAGCATTATTTTTCCTCCTTTTCGAGTTGCTAACTTCTAATCCTCAAAGTCTTTCTACCAGAAAATATTTTAGCTGGCGGAGTCTTCGTAGAAATGACTAATTATGTTTTTGTGTGTTTGCATTACCGCAAACATAATGGCAATTAAAAATTTAATTAATTATGAAAACTTTCACATTACTGTATCGTGTGTACGATAATAATAAGCAACATGCGCATTAAATTATGTACAAGGATGTGGGGGAAAATGTATGTAAAGCGCGACGCGAGCACTCGTACTCGTATTTCCGCGAAAAAGTGGATCAAACGAAAGTTGAGCGCGTTTAATTCGGCTCGACTCCGCGAAGAATCTTCCTCAAGCGTGTTCAGCCACGCAAGCACATGTAACGTCCCGAAATCGTAAAGTTTAAACCAGCACAAAACATTTTACAAACGGCAAAAACAATAAATCTCAAAACTTTTCCCTATGCTGCTATGCCTGCGTCATTTGTTACAATTGATGCATTGATACACATCAGCATCATAATTAATTTGCCAGAAAGGAGAGGCGCATGGACCGCGCGTAATCGACGTGTACACTCCTCTCTTCGATGCACGCGGGGCGCTCAGCGAAAATCAATAGAACGTGCACTTGTGCGATGACGGCGGTGTGCGCGATTGCAGGAGCGGCTGCACCGCCGGCCCCGGCGCGCACTCCGGCCACGCCACGCCGCACGGCTCCAAACTGGGTCACGAAAATGGGTCGCGCCGGTTTCGCGGTGTAACCTTAACCAGAGAACCCAGTTGCAACGCGCTAACTGGCACACACACAACAGAATAAAACAACCCACCATCACACGCCTCAGAAAACCGATGCAGATGCACAAGGCGGCGGATCAATGACGACCGAGTCGTCGAACCGACAAAAGAAGCGGAGGACGCGAGAGACACCCAAACACCCAAGCGAATCTTACGCATTGCGAACAACTTGCATTTTTCGTGGGAGCGCACAGCGTGCCGACGTAATTGCTATTTTCCAATCCAGCGGTGGGCACACGCACTTCCGTAAGCGGAACGCATTCTCTCCGCGAACACTATGGGACGATAAAAACGTGAGCCGCGCGCGACTTTGCTCACTATCCGACTTTTTTTTTCATTCTTACACTGGGCATGGGCGCGCAGCGCACACGGCGGCATCAATTACCGCAGTTTCTCTCGGCTGGTGGGTGTTACATCATACGCCACAGCATTTTTACTCGGATGCAACCGAACACAGTAGATCAAAATGTCGCGCGAGGGTGGGAGATGCATGCAAGAACATTCGAAACATTTGAACATTATACACATTACGGCATTACACAACCAGCAACGCCGCCGTGCAGCGCGCAAAGAGAAAAATGAAGCGAGCGGATGATGGTGTGTACGCGCGCGCGCGCGCATGTGAATCTGTGTATGTGCAGCTACAAGGCCCCGTTATTCACATTCACACAGAGACCTAGGCGCGCATTCAATCACACCCGACTGCCAGCCAGTCGGCTAGCCAAGTAACGAGCCACAGAACGGCAAATATGTGCACAACCATTCGGTTTTATGGAACATGACACACACACATACAGCCACGAACACGGTGCAATTACATTACGCGCGTCTATGTTTCTCTATTGCGGATTCGCGCGGTGTGCAGAAAACACCATCGGCCGACTTTGCGCTCGTATCGCGGATTGCAATTGCAAGGTTGTTACGGCAAATATTTGCAACGCTTTTCAAGGACGTTTGACGAGCACGCTCGCGCGCCGTTAATTTCAACATTTCCACCTAACGCGCACACCGCGTTGTATCGTCGTCGTCGACGTTGTCGCGGGTTAATGACAACGTGGAAAACGAGAGACGTCCTCAAACTGAAATATTCACGCATACCGGAAATCATTACAACCGGGTGTTGCAAACAGCATTAATTTCGCATTTAAGAAGCAAATTTTTTCACTAATAAAAAAAATTGATTAGAATGATGTGTTTACGTACTCCGAGCATAGGTTTTTGACACTACACGAGTGACTAAGTACAATTCGGGGGGAATAACCCAGACTCCCAGACGCGGTGCGCCATGCCGCCGCATTGCCTTAATTATTCGTCCCACCGACCGGCTCTCCTCGTCGTCGGATCGGACCACACCGGGCAAAACAGCAACAATAACGATTCTACAAGTTGCCCGCATACCATGTGTCATCACATGACATAGCAATTCGCAAAACCTACAAAAATATTCAAATCGGCATTGTCCTCGGGTGAAATTGAATGTCTCAAAGAAAACCGCTTCCCAAACAGCTGTGCTAGCTTACGCTTGCACCTTTCGTTGCAATTCGCAAACAATTTCATTGCTCGTGTGCCCGACGTTTACGCCTAAATGCATTGTATATTCTGCAAACTTGTTTTCTTTTAATTCAGCCAAAAGTTTTCACGGCTGTCAAGAGCAAACTTTGGCCCTGGACGAGCGACGGCGCAGGCCAACTTTTGCAGGCAATAAACAAGCCGTGCAGCACAATGCACAAATGCTCACAAAGGAGATCCCCATTTATCCGAAATTCCAAGAATCTACCTAAGTCGGCCGAATCCTACCTAAATGCGCACCGCGTGCACCGAGGATGCGCTCGGTATGCAGCGCTGGATTTACATTACACACGTGTGCGCGCAAAGTATGCGAACAATGGCGAATTCCAAATATTTCACTTTGCGCACACAAAAATAATTCGATTTACAGACGGCTTGGTTTCAACATTGCTAAATTTGTCAGGTGGCCATGACTGAAATGTCATTGCAAATGCTGAAATCTAAGGTAAAATTGAGAAGAACTTACGCTGCGGTGGTAACATCCGATAGTGTGGCGGAGGTAATAAACAAATCTCCGGCTTGACGGGGGCGTTCACATATCTCGACACCATTTTGTCGTTTTGTTTTCAGCACCGATGCGGTGCAAACGCGAGCAAGGCAAACAAAAAGCGGCGAAACACGCGCTCTCGCGAGTTGAAAACCGCTGACGGACGGTTGGCCCGAAAAACAAACCAACTGTTATCAAACGCGCATCATTGTGCCCGCCCGCTGAAGAAACGCGCGACTAGTTCTTGCATTTTTCGTGGCTGCTGCTGCCGCCGCCAGAGATGCAACCTCGCAACAACTTTGAGTGCGCGATGATGATGAACACGACGAACGACGATCGCCCGACAACTCGGTTAGCTCCTCGCGCATTTTGCCGCGGCACACATGCTACACTCAACCACTCAAAACTCAATGACGATCCTCGCGCTCAGCCCGCACGCGGTGGCGTATTGATTCGCCGATGACGATGACCGTCCGTCCGTTCGCGTGTCAGAGTCTGCACACACGGGAAATCGCGACTGGAATGTGTTCTCAGAGCACGTCTCGACGCGGCGCGAGTGCCCCTCCGATAAAAATCGATAAGGGCGTTTTAGAAATCACTGTGCAGCGCGCACGGAGCGTGTGCTGCTGCTGCTGCTGCACGGAACGCACGAGACCAAAACACACTGCGAGCGCACTCTCTCACTAACACCACCGCATCAACGCGGGCGCGCGCACCAAAGAAAGAAGCTGACGTGCGTGCGTCCGTCGTTCTAACCACCACTGTCGACCGAAAATTTCGCTTCTCCCTCGAGGGTTTCGCGGATTGAAGTTTTGCGCGCGCGTTTATGTTGTGACTATCGCACGGATTCACTATCGCGATAGGTTCACGAATTGTTAGAGTACGCTTGTCCCGTGACTCTCGGACTCAACGATCGAAGTGATGCGTGACGGCAATTCTTCGGTTAAACATTTGTCACCGTTGTTCGCACCGACAACGCCATTGTATCGACTGGCAGCGGCCGCGATGCTCGGACGCTGACGAAAACTGCCGACAGGTTGCATGACGCATGCGCGCTCACTTGGCGGCGCGGCGCAACGTTGCCGCGTCGACGCCGAGACGTGCACGCCAACCGGAAGTGGGCGCAAGGGCACACACACCGCGCGCATCGCAACCAACCAACCAACCGCCGGGCACCCAGCCGCGGCTCGCACGCGAATACGAAATTACGAGCTGCGTAAACTTGAATTGAGCCGCACGGACGGACGATCCGTCCGCGAGGAGTCGCAATCGAACACGTACGCTAATGGGCGCAAACATGTCTGGCATGACTGGCTAACATTGTGCAATCATTGAAATGGGTTGACAACACAGAGGAATGCGACTTTTCCACCGAGTTTTTAAACTCGCGTGGCGCTCACCGTCTAGGCTTATGTAATATGTTCAAGGGGCTTTTCCCATAGATGACAACGCAGAAAAACACACAAAAGCGCTTGTTATGCGAGCGAACTTCGAAACTCTCGCAAGCCGCTCCAAATTTCGGCCCGCAGAGGCACGGCACTGCCACGTGACTCTTGCCGCTTCTTCACTGCGCACGGCGCGCTTCCACCACGGAATTGAGGTTAGCCGTGCCACGGACGCCAGGCGGCCCCGCAGGCTCTTCCTGCCTGCGCGCACACGCTGCATGCTGCACATTACCTGCGATTTCAATCTCTTCTTCGGCCGTGGCCGGAAGTCCGTCGCAGGGAATCACCACCGCTCCAGCAGCACCATATGGGATGCGCACGGCCGGCGCGCTCGCTCTGGTTCGCACTTTCCACACATTCCGCACTCGGGGGGGGCCGGAGAACTGCGTGTGTGCGTGTATTAAATTTTTTCGTCAAACAACTATTGCTTTTGCAAAGAGTCTCCGCGCGCGCGAGACACGCGACCAGCGCCGAAGACAGGTGAACGTGTACTGGATTGGCCAATGAAAGTTATACATGACACAATCGCACGGTGGAGCGAGCGTGCGGAGCAGCGGTGGCAGCGCACCGTTCGTTAGTCAATCGGCTCAGCAGTGCCGGAACTACCAAACAATCGAAAATTATCGCCTCGAAACTAAAAAACTCTACGTTGACATTTGACATTCAGCATTCCTTAATCTTCAGCTAACAATAAACATTTCTCCAAAACAAATCTTCAATTTGGTTGTATCTGAATGAAAATAAAGCAGTGAAATGTTTTCATGCAGAAATAATTTCTTTTCCACTAATATAAAGTTAAATTTATAATTTTGGTTCCGCCTCTGTCTCTGTACGAACAGTCTCTACACGTATCACCGCTATGATAATGTGCGTACGAGCGAGAGAACACCACGGTGGCAAACTGTGTTTGCATTCCGATCATCGGCGGATCGTCGCGTCGTTGCGTGCGTGAGTTCGCCTCGCGTATCGCACCATGCCGAATTTTTTATCAGCCGGCGTGCGATAAGCGGTGTGCACGTAACGTTCGGACGCAGATTCGAATGTCATCTTGCGCGGGCGCACTACGACCCGACGACGAGCGACGACGACGTCTCGAAGAAAAACGCACGCGGCGCGCCGCTGTGCCGTGGGATTCGCTAAATTTAGGTCAATTGTAAAATATCTAGGAGAGCACAGCGACTCGACAACACTCTCACGTCTCACCAGCAGCAGTATAATTGCCGCACGTATGTGCTTTAGCGAATGCCGTGTAAAGATGAATTGTTAGGTTAGATTTCAACTCGCAGCATTGGGCAAACGAAGAAAAAGGGGCGTAACTGTAGCATGCCGCGACACGCAAACTGTCGACCGACTCGCAGGATTTGAATTCGATGTGTGAATGAATGAATGAATGTAAAAAGCGTTGTTTACGCTGACTTACCGCTCTCGGTCACCCAGCGTGTTGGGAACGCATGAGCTCCTTGGTGCCGTGGTTGTGAATCGCGTGAGTCAGCTGCAGGAAAAGGATACGTTTGTTGCTGTTGCTGCGGGAAGCGCGTTTGGGCCCCGACGGGTGGCGCCTGCTTCTGGTTGCCGCTCATCCTGCCGGTGCGGCGCTGAGGGGGGCTCGGCTCCTGCGTTTCCTCGTCCTCACTCACTCAGTGCAGCGACCGCCCCGAGTCAGTCCCGCGGATGGAATACATATGTTCAATGAAAACACATCACACTCGTCACACAGAACGGTCGGTTCGCCCGTGTCATAATACGCGATCGGGCGCAGCAACGTTCGCGGAAATGTGTGAAGACCGCGCAACTGGCGCACGCGGACGCCGATTTAGACTGCGCGATATTGAAGGGACGATGCGACAAGTCACTTCTTACGCGCTGCAGCGCCGAATGTGTTGAAAAAAAATAACTCCTCTCGTGTGTTTGCACCAGCAACCACTTTGAACTCAAAGGTTAAGATTAAGTTCCCAAGATGGCCGATTTGGTTAACCCAAAAACATGTTTCGTGTCGGTCGCCGCCACACTGCGCGATCGAACGCGGCACTTTCGGCGCTACAGCGGCTGCAGCGTATGCTCTCGCGCCACTATAATTAGCACAATGTCAATCAGTAATCGCTTAAATTAAAATTAATAATTTATTAAAAATGACACGCGGCTTTCACGTTGCTACTTGTGCACGACTGTCGGTGGATCACCGAACTAGCGTTTACTGTTCGCGGCGTTGCCTTGTTGCTCTTATGTTCGTGCGTTTCCGTCACAATGATCACGTATACAACCCGAACGTTATATTTGATTCAAAATGTACTTTAAATTTATTTATGATCAGAAATATAATTATAACAAACATTATTCTATTGTATTATTTTTTTAAATTATATTTATACCCTGATATTAAAAATTTCATAGATTTTACTCAATTATTTTTAAAAATGATTCTCAGTTTAAGTTTATGTGATCTGCCTTTACAAATCAAATAAATACTGTGCAAAAGTAGGGTTACCCGTCAACTTCCATTCAACCATCAAAAAGCATCTAAGAAGTTTCGGTTATTTTAAATTCAAAATCTAATTTATAGGTAAAGATAGTAATTAGGGCATATATTTTATAACAATTTATGTATATATTTAAAGTTTAACAATGGAACCAATGAACTTGGGAAGCCCTCCATCGAGTCCAGCATCGCCAAACCCGAACTTTTTACCCGCGTATTTGATGGGCGAATCGCAGCAAATCACATCACCCAGTAATCCAGCAATTTCTCCCGGTCGCAATAAAACACCGCTCATGATGAAGACCGGCACGCAACAGCAATACTCCAACAACATCCGCCAAAAACTCTTCAATCAATCCACTCTTTCCGACTTCAACTCACCAATTACCAGCCCATTTGGCAGCCCAGCTGTAGAAAAAGCAGGGCCACCTAAAACAGGTCTCTTTGATGTAGCTGAGAAGGCAAACACTCCAGTACTCAGCAGTACAATGCGCCATCCTGCACCAAATGAACAAATCATGTTTGGCATGAATGATAGCACAATGTTTGACACAATTGATGGTAGCTTCAGACAAAGTGCAGGAGCACCAGCTAATTTCAATGATAGTTTCAACAACTATCTTAATTACAGTCAGATGGATGCAAGAAGTGTGTCTATGAACATGGGAAGGCAAATGAATCAAATCAATACATTATGGGTGACTGTCTTTGGTTTTGTACCAAGCAGTACCAGCTTGATAATTGCTCAAATGTCTAATTGTGGCACAATTCAAGAGAAAAAGTATCCCACACAAGGGAATTGGATACACCTAAAGTATTGCTCTGCACAAGAAGTAGCAAAGGCGCTGTTGCTCAATGGAAAACTGATTTCAAACAGTATCATGATTGGTGTTGTGCCATATTATAACAAGTGTGAAATGGATAAGGAAAACAATATGTCCGGCGCACAGTATTCGTCACCAATAATTGCAAGATCACAAGCAAGATCATTGCGCACATCGAACGTGCCGCAATTGAATTCAAACACGGTTGTGTCACCACAAAACGTCCCTCAAAAGTCCACCGGACTGGTGACGAAGGCAATGGAGTACGTTTTTGGATGGTGAATCTTTAATAATCGTGTCGTTTCCGTCGAATTAATTGCTCACGTCTTTCATTTTTATCTAATTTATACAATTGCATACTTTCTGTTTACTTTACTTCGATTTATCATGTTTGTCTTACTGATTTCATGAATTGTGTTAGAACATAACTACGACGTTGTGATTTTATTGCAAATATACTTTACATTTGTATTTTGGTGCAATTTTAGTGTACTTTTCCAAATTTTAAGAAGGTAATCAGTTCCCTGAAATATTAACACAGTGCACATCCCAATATTCAAGTAAAGATTAAGCTGCACTAACAATACCCGTCATAAACTTGAATCAAAAGTACGCTGGTAATAAAAATGAACAATACGACCGTTTCGGGTATTAATTTTACGAGTATTGGGGATTAGGCCAACCGTAGCATGTTTTCCAGACGTGCGCATAGTTTTGCGTTGAGCATTAACATTAAAAGGGATTAATTTTGGCTCTATAGCTTTAGGCGCCTAGAATATTTATGAATTTCTTATGAATTTAAAATAGTAGTTCATAACTAAACCCAGAACGATAATACAAGGGTTCTACGTATTAATACTCATAAACGAATATTCCGGGAAATACAAACAAAAATTGCTAATGTGCAGCTATATAAAGGCATCTATAGCTGATAATGGATAATTAAAAAGACGTTTAGAATGTTAACATGAAATGTCACAGGACAATCTAATTAATAGCGATTATTTGAATGAAAATAAAGTAAAAACTGCCTATTTCGGGGCCAAATTGTCAAAAGTTCAATGTTCTACATTGATTTATTTCATTTGATTGCCATTTTACTAAATCGATGAATATGTGCAATGTGTTTATTTTGGTTTTTGGTGATAACCATTATCAGTATTCAAAGTTAGCAAATTTGATTCGTATAGTGACGAGGCCCAATTTTCAATGATATAAATCATAACAGCGAACAGATGTAACAGTAAAAAAAATAAATAAAACCATATAAAATATCAATATCTATTTTTAAATTCCGTGTTTCTTGCAAATTTTATTTTTATTTTCGACATGTTTCAACTAATTGTGCAGTAGAAAATTAAAGTAAAATTTGTAACAACACAGAATTGAAAAATAGAAATTAATATATTATGTGCTTACATGAACCAAATAAAAACAAAAATAGATGCAAGTATAATCAATAGCGATTGAATATAATTTTGTAGTGTGTATGTAGTTTTTATTTTCCATGTCATACCCACTTAATCTTTATATTACATCCTCATAATATGTAGTATTTACGAACTTGCCTTAAGAAAATATCCAATGACTAATTAATAGAGCATTAGTATTACAATAGTATTAGTGAAAATACAATTCAGACTTCCAAATGTGGCCAAACCAACTTTTCGTATTTGCTACAAATAGTAAAGTAAACATTGCAACCTCTTTTGTATGTTGTTTACTAAATTGACTGCGCACAGTATGTACTACACAAACTAAATCATTACTCTCTCGACTCTTGACTGATAAATGTAAAATCATCAATAAATCTGCACTTACTTTTACTTATCACGATCAAGATTATTACGTTTCTTGCTCACATTTAACACTCCTATTTCGGTGATGCTAACAATAGAATAACGATATTTATATTCTCAAAGAGTAAACATTACTTGCATCGCCAGAACACAACAGAAAATAGAACTTAATTAAATATTAATGAAAAAATGTAACAAAACAAAAAGAAATATTCTGATAAATACACAAATTTGAGAATAATTTTAAAATTTTGAGTAGAAATTGTTATTTCCTGGCGTTGCAAGAAATCCAACGCTTCATATTCATATATTTTAGAGTCTATCATCTGCAATTAATTTGGTACTGGTACTAAACGTGGTTTGGTTATGATATATCATAAAATATGTAAATTACAAGTTAAAAATTCGAGCAAAACTATCAAAAACACAAAAGATTTTGCAGACCCTCATAATTTTGAAAGTAATACAATACGCTGCAGCATAAATAATGCGTAATGCATCAATTGTTACAAAACCTAAGCCGAGTGAAAATCCTCTAGCATAATATATACAGCATCATCCGTTTGTTATTTCGGACTCTCGATCTTCGGCGCCGAGAGTTCAGTCATCTTCGGATATTTGGCGTGTTTCTTATCCAGCTCAGACTGCGACCATAAAATTAGTTTCAACAGGGTGGAAATCTTCGGCATGGTACATTCCTGATGTTCCATTCGTAGTATCGCCGCGTTTACTTCGCTAGCAATTTTTTGTCTATGCGCAGGTTGCAACAGATCACCAAAAGGACTATTCAAAGGTTCTTCAAACGCGAGTAGAGCTACAGTGCGTTCAAGTTCTTCTAAAACTGAAGGATCAGCTTCACCTGCTTCACTCAGATGTGACTGTGCAAAGGACAAAGCTTCCTCAACGCGATTATTTCGAATTAATTCAATCAAATGCAGCTGCTGTAGATGAAAATAAAGATAGCGGTCGTTGTCTAAGAGTTCTGGGTGTAATTGGTTAATGAAGGCAGTTGCTTCCTGCACTCTGCCATTTATAATTGCATCCCTAATGCGGATTCTGTCATCCAAGGAATTGAGTTCAATAGTTGGACCCACGCCGGACTCTTGTTGGAATTTCTCAGCGGCTTCTTTGAAACCCTCTTTAACAAGAGAAAATATATAAATATTAGCACTATAAACTACATTATAGTAGGGATATATTGTATTATTGTACAAACCTGTAACAAGGTAGTTCATAATGAGTTTGTTCATGCTCAATCTGCTGATTTCTTTGCTATGCAACATCCGGATCCAGTCGTCTTTTGTTGGGAGGACCTCAAGCTTGTCTGCGCTGGTCATTGTTTAATTGAAACTGTGTATCTGTGTCTTTGTCGCGATTTATTTTTACCATAAACAATACTCATAACAGCTGAGTGCGCGTTCGGTTGTTGTGACAAGTGACAATCGTGGATGACATTCAACCTGAAGTACGAATAACAATTCATCCAGAGGGCAGCACCTGACGGTAGTACTTTTTAATTTACGACTATAGTAACATATCTACTTTTCAAGACATGTGACAGATGGCAGCATGTGCCCCATTAGAAAATAAATCCTTACATGAACAAAGTAATTCACGATTGGAATAAAACAAATAGAAGAAAGGGATATGAATAGTTACATCAAGAAATATATTACCAACTGTCAATCGCTCTCATATGTGAAATATAAATGTGAAATTATTGGTGGTTAGATACTAGTGCAAAAAATATTTTATTTTTATGTCTTATTAATGACAATTAGGTATCCACCTCCGTTTTATTGGTTTATTTGCATAATAATAGACGATATATGATTTATAATATTCATCTCCGTCCCGAAGAGAAGAATAAGTATTAAAATATCACACAGCATTACTTTAAGGGGTTAAAAAGGGATATTCAGCCATAGTTAGAGCTAAATTGAATACCAGATGGCGCTGCAGTGCTTTATTAACATTATGAAATAAACAAAATCAGAAAAAAAATTAACATTGAAATAAAATGGCGAAATCTGACACACATACAGGGTCTTAAACAGGGAAGTAAAAAGTAATTACATCTTTTAAATAAACAATAGTATTGGTTTCGATAATCGTATATTTAATAACTGACGAAAAGCACATATTATTGCCGTTCCTTATCTCGATTTGTGCAGAAATTATGAATGCAATTGTGATCGTTATGTGTGTGCCCTAGCAACGTACAATACTCCTCTCCTCCTGCTGGCGCCAGATCGTCCTCGTACTGGTATGTACAATAAATACACAATACCTTATCATGTAAATATAAATGAAAAAATAAATAATAATAATAATGAATATATACAAACATAAGTATCATTTACAATAACAAGTACTAACATTTAACATCGCTTCAAAACTCATTTCCATGGCGTCGCGCGACCGCACTCAAAATGGCGGCGACCAAAATTCAATTCGCTAGTGTACAATGTCCAATAATTACAATATTATTCAATTTGTTTCATTTCATAAATAATTTTCACAAGTCCACATCCTCTGAAACATTCTTACGTATTATTATACTTTGGGATCTTCATCCAACATATAGAAAATATTTAAATGTCTCTTTGATATTTGAATAGAACCTTAATTTATACACAATTATACAACCGTTCTCCTTTGAAATTTTCTTGATTACAATAATTACAATTATGTTTGCCTTGCGTTTTCATCGATTCCATTGCATCGTAGTCTAATTAAGTATCTTTTGGTTGCGTGCTCAATGAAAACGAAGACGTCTAAAGGTTAAAATTTAAGTAAATCTCACTAAACGTTTACGTTGTTGCTGGCGAGCGCGTGCTGATGTTGATGGTCGCTCATCATCGACTTGGTTTCGTCGTGCGGCAGCTGTGGTGGCTGCGGCGCGCCATTGCTATTGCCCAACCATTGTCACAACGTCTGGTAGTCATGTAGGAGGCCGCATCTAGCCGCCTCCGGCGCATGGTACATCGGTTGGATGATGTTTGTCGCCGCGAGCGTCGGATAGGTGTTCACCGGTACCTGCGTCGGCATGCCTACGCTCAACGACGCCGGCGCATAATGCGCCCCACCGCCCCCACCAACACCACCGCCGCCACCAGATAGAACGCTTGCTTTCGTCCCCGCCTCCGACTCACTATCGGAACCACTCGAATCAAGATGTGCTCGTTCTCCACCGCCTTGAGTTCTGGAAAAGAAAAACAAATCATGTTTTAAATTACAGAAATTATAAATTTCAATGAGTGACAAATAGGTAGACACGTAAACAAGATGGCATCGTCGATATCACTCCTCATGGGTGTTAAAGATACAGATAAACCGATAAAATGGTGATGAATGGCCGTGAAGTAAAACCACACGAACGCGAGAAGTTGAAAACTTTCCAAGATGATGGTGTGTGGTGTTGGGTGGTTGAATATTGTTTGAAAACCTGGGGGTTCTTTTTATCTGGCCGCGCACGCAAGAAGCGGCAGACCCGGCAGCAAACTGCGGAATCGTTGAGCCGCGAGGAAGCCATCGGGGCGCATCTCGCGAACGTCGACGGCGACGACGACGACTCACGGACGTTTACCGCGTATCGAATTACGCGTTGCAGCCCGCAGGTGAAACCCGATATGACAAGCGCCGTGGACCGGCGCGAAGCAACCCAACGACGACGAAGGAACCAACCGAACGCACTAAACCGAGAGACGAGAGAAAAGGTGGAAGGACTGCTGTACATCGTGTGCGTTTCTCAACATTCAATGTACAAGGTACTACCTACAATCACAATCAACATTTTCAACACATACAAAACCAACAAAACATAACCTCCACAATAAAAACTATCACAAAGATATTTTATGCATATTTTGATGTAATTTTGATAGATAAATATTTGTAGGTTAGGTAATCAGAGGTTATGTTGGATCACCTTGTAGATGAAACAAAAGTAAGAATCGCCTGATGCGGGAAAACTGAATGGCGCTGCCGGCGTAGGTGGTCCCAACTTATTCCAAACGAAAGTGTGGTAAAGGGAAGATTATAACGTCTTCGATCACATACATCACACATCTATATTGATTAATTTATCTCACTGTAGTAAAACTAAAGAAACTGTTTGTTGCCAAACAAAATGGCTTCACAGCACAAATGGTTCTCATGTTCAACTACTCTCTACTAACTTGAAACTATACTTTATACTTATGCTTCAACTTTTAGTTTTCCTGCATGCGCTGCTGGTGAAAATTCAAGTTAGCAAACGTTGCGGCCTTTTTGTTTGCACAGTATGCGTAATATTTAGAAAAGGAGGGCGTGAGTGGAAGCCGCTGTCGATGTCGATGATGATGGGAAGCATTGGAAGCACATCGGAAAGGATGAGGAGCGGGAAGCGCTAGTCGTTTTGTTTGAACAGACACTGTTGTTTTCGGGGCCAGAGCAGCGGCTGGCGGTAATCCGATACCGGCGGGCGCAAAACCCGCGCTGCGCCCTCGTTAGCCGACGTACGCAACCGCGAGCGGCAGCAGGACCGCATTTGGCATTTAATCAAGCCACTAATTGAACGCCGCTACGACCATCATCACCGCATGCAAATTAATCAAATAGAAAGAAATACAAAAAATATACCACCGAAGAGATCGAAAAAGAAAAATTCAATCGAATATACTCATTGATAATTTTATAAAACGTGGAGATGAAAATGTTAATGTCGAATACAATGTGTAGAATGATGGCGGAGAGGTACGCGGGGAGGTAACGAGGGAAAACCGCTGTCGGATCCCATTACCGCCACAACACCGATCTCGCCCATCAATAGACATAAAAACAACGCCCGTGCGCTGTGCCGATCACAGCCACAATATCCACGCTTTTTTCGCTTTTTCCCGTGCGTGCCTTCGAATTTCGGCATTATCTTGCATCTTCATCAACGCACATAAAAGTTACATCGAATAACATCAACAAACTCGATGTCTGATGGCTCGAGACCTGCGCCAATGCGACCTTTATACCAAACACTTAAAATTTAAAATTGTAATTTCATTTTAAGTGTCGAGTTAAATTAAACGTTTCCAGTAAAGTTCGACGGCGGAAAAACAAGCAACCGAAGTGAGATACAGATAAATTTTTACGTCAAAGTACAAAAGATGTCTGATTAGAAATTCAGGGTGAATTTAACTGTTGTTTAATTGGTTCAACATTGCAATCGAATCGTAAAATAACTGGCAGGTTTTATTCTAACCTCCAATACCTGTAATTGTTGCTTGTTTGGTGGCCTATATAAATAAAATCTATAATATAAAAATGAATCGCAAAATATGTTGGTAAGCGCATAACTCAACAACGCCTAGACCAATTTGACCTATTCCTGTTTTTAAAATGTTTGTTTAAGTCCAAGGATGGTTTTTACAGCGAGAAAAACTCGAATAATTACCAAGAAAACCCTAAAGACAGCCCTTTTCTAAAGGATAAATGTTGTCATTGAGATTCAATCATAGTTGTAGTTAAATAGTTAAATCCGAGATGGCGCGCTGAAGTGCATTATTAGCAATTCTTTACACAATTAATTTCTTTAAAATAAAATTGCGAGTCTTATTGATAGAATTGACACATACTATGTCTAGAACAAGAGAGTAAAAACGAATTACATTTTTATTTAACACTACCGGGATGAAGTCGTGGGCAAAAGCTAGTTTATGATAATGATTGTACTTAATTTGAAGCACGCTTAACGGCTGGTCTATTGAGTAATTAAATTATTAAATTAGTTTGCGTGCCATTAATTGCAACCGCAAATTGCTCCAAATCATAATAAATATCTTCTTTAAGACGTGCGCAAGCACCAGAAATAATTTTTGGTGAAATCATTAAACACGCCGGATGTGATCATTAGCAAAAATTCACTTAAACATGAAATATAATTATTTACAAATTGTTGCTCACTGTTTCTGCTCACATCTTGCGCTGACCATATTGATTATTGACCAAGTCGAGATGTGCGCGCGGAGGAACAGCACTAAACAAATACTTAATTGCCTTCTTCATTTTTCATTCCGTTTATGTGCGCATCTCGGCGGTGCTTTGTCGCTTTTTCGGCGGTTTGCAAGCGTCGGAGAGACAGACAAGTGGTCGCCAGATGTGTTTGCGTACCACCCTTCTTTAGAGTCAAAGTTAAAGTTAACAGTTCCATTGTGTGCAACTACATTTATATGAATATACGAATAGATGCCGAAGAACAATGTGTTGCAGTGTCAAACAATGTGCGCCTGTTCTTCTTTGCTTTCCTCTTCATGTTGCATCCTAAATTCAACATTGTCTTGTCGCTTTTTTAACTTTTAAAATATTTATTTAACAAACTGGCGCCACAAAAAGTGCATTCGTTGTAAATTAACTGTTTTAAAAGCAAGAAACTTTGTTTTTGGTGAAAATATCAAAAACCTAACCTCAAAAACTAATTTGACAGCGGGTAACAAAGTAAAACTTGATTTTCAGTCTGATCTTGACGCTCTGAGATCATTATTGCCCTTGTTTCGAAGATTCACACGTGCAAAATGACCGCGAAGGGCACGATGGATCGTTGGCACCATAAGCAAGTTATTAATGGCGTTTTCACGCTTCAATTTATGCACGGCGCATACAAGTCGGGAGCCGCGGGGGTCGTAAATCATTCGGAAACGAGCGTGCGCGAAGCAAAAACACGGCCACCGCGCGCGCGCGCGTCGAAGAAGAAGGCGTTAAACACGGTTATTATCGACGGCAACGAGCCGAGCTAATTGATTGCAACGGCGCAATTATGCCAAATTCATTTTTGATGAGCACGAACCAAACGACGCGTCGACAAGGTGCGAAAAATCGCAACCTGAATTTAAACTCGTTGCGGCAACAAGTTGCATCGCAATTTTCAATTAATTTTCATTTTCTATGCATAACCCGCTAATTTTTCTCAACAATTTAGCTTCTTGTTCTTATTTATTTCACGCGAGGCGAAAACGTGCTGTGAATTTATTATCTTGTATTTTATACCACGCTGAAAATATTTGAAATATTTTCGTGGTGCGTTTTTAAATTTCCCGTAAGTTATACTAGTTGTTGAGACTGAGAATCGTTCATTTATTATGAGTGCGTTGTAATGTTTAAGTGCTTTTGAAATTTGCCTGGTTTCGAGTTGCCAAAAATGTGAGGAGCCGTTAAACGAAATAAATTAATTTTATTGTTCGTAATGTTCAAGCGGATTCGTGTTGCAAAGAGTAATGTTCCACCGTTTGAGGCGTTGGAATGCGAATGTTTGGCATTCATTCTCACAGATGATAAAATCAACGATGGTGAAAGAAAAAAGTGAAAAAAATTCAAATTCACCAAACGAATCAAACAAAAACTGAGAAAAACTAAAGCTGCATGTATAGTAGTAGATTCAAAGTGTTACAATTCTATTTTTGACATCATAACCATTATACAGGAAGCTACTTAACCTTAACTTACTTTTAACCTCAATAATTATAAAAATGTAACATAACCTTACTAATAATCCACATCAAACAACTTTATTTTTGCACCTTTTTTAGTATTAATTGCCTATTAATATATTATATTTTGAGTTTGGATGTAAATTTAATTTGGAACACTCTGGAGTGCGTTGGCCAGCGGTTACACGAGCCTGGAACCTGAGAATAACCATGGCGCGCGCGGCTTTCAGCTATTTTCGACTTCCGCCACTCGACACCAAAACATCTCTCAAATGTTACGCGCGTAGCTTATCCGACGCAGGACGAGTCGAGCCAATCTATTCATAAGCGCACTTCAATTATTGCACATCACTTTTTATACGAAATTAAATCAAATAACGAACTGATTTAAAAAGAAAGAAGGAAAGAAAAAACAATAAAGCTGTGTTTTCTTTGATGGCTTTTAAACTAAGTAATTTTTTGTATCTTTGACGCTGGAAGATTCAATCATAAACATAAATCTCCCACAGAAAGACATAAACTCGCACCCTAAAACACGTAGATATTTAAATTTAAATTTAAGCGACGTTCATCGCCACTAAAACAACATCAAATGTATCAAACTATCAAAAAGAGCTAAGATTAGTCATTTTCCTAATCTCGACGCATCTTGCATTCACTCCCGGCGTGCAAGTACACTTTTAACGTTCGTCTTTGTATGTTTCGTATTTTTTAATTACCGAATGTTTTGGAATTTAACATTTTAACGCGCTTCACGCGCGCGCGCGCCGCCGGAAAGCGCATAAAACAACAAACTTAGCATTACAAACTCACTTAAATACCCAAAATATAAATAAAATCCACACAAAGTATAGTAATGACAACACACTACTCGTGCACGGCAACTGCACCCTTTCAAATCTCACATTTTACACTTTACGAGCCATCTTCATACGCAGTTTACGTTTACGACTTTCATTAATTATTCGAAACGAAAAAAAAAATGAAGAAGGTAAATAATAAAATAGCTATAAGTAGATTTATCTCGGTTAACACTTTTAGAGCTACAACCGAAAAAAATGGATAAGCAAATGAAACATTTTATCGGAAGGTAATAAAACCACCCCAACAGCAGCCTGCAGCCGTAACGCAACCAGTAAAAACAAAAAACGAAAAAATATATAGCGGACGCCACGTTTCGGCGTTTAATTATCACTTCAGGAAGCCGTTTAGGGGCCGCAAAGTTTACGACCGTCTATTGCATCACAAGATGTATAAATAGTCGGCAATTATAATTATGTTGCGAGTCGTTTTTCGGACGTTTTGCATACTAAGTGCACAGCTAACACATAGCGCTTCAGGGGAAAATGCGCGCAGATGATTAATTGCACAGCCACACAGGAGGTAAAACACAGCGATGACAAGTCGGGGCGGTTGTGCAATCGGCGAAAATTAGTGCGAGTTATTTACGGCGCGCTTTTGAACTACTATGATGCACATCCGCATTTTGTACGTATTACAAATGCCGACATTCTGGCGTAAATCACTTGCAATAACACATCATATTCAATCAAAATGAAAGTGCACTGCAACCTAACCTTCAAATATGTTCCTATAAACTTTCATGTGTATTATGGCTACTGATATAAAACATAACCTATAATAATTACCGCAGCTAATCGCAGCGAGTTAAAATGTTATTGAAAATATTTATTTCGGCGTGTTCTCGTTTTTGTGGTGCGGTTTAGAATTCCAACGAGGTTGCCTGCTTGCTCCCGAAATAGAATCCTGACTCACGTTACATCGCTCAAGTCGATGCGCGATGCGCGCGCGTTCTTATTTTGCTGCCTCCGCCGCCGACTGGCAATGCGATACGCCCGAAACCTTATAGCGCGGCGGCCAAAAAATTTCGACACGGGCCGAAAACTTACAACCTACCGACTAACACACTTAGCCGGTAGCTCAAAATATAAGCCACGCGAACACCACGGATATTTTTAAGGCGTTCGACGCTCAATTGGCGTATAAATAAACCAGCAATGCACTAAACACGTACCTGCAAGTCTTTAAACACCCGAAACAATGTTGAAAAATAATGAAATATTACAACTTACGAATCTTTGTGCTCAGCTGCCCGATCGCGTTGCCGCCGGTTCTTGAACCAATTCGAGACTTGAGTTGTGGTCAGGCCGGTAGCTTCCGCCAACTCACGTTTCTCACGTGGACTGGGATAAGGATTGTGCGTGTACCAATCGCGTAAAACTGTCCGTGATTTCTCCTTGAAGCAGTAGGAAGTCTCTTCGCCATCCCAGATTGTTCGGGGTAAAGGGAATTTTCGGCGTACACGATATTTGCCTACAGCTCCCAAAGGTCTTCCTAAATTTAACACCAACAGGTTATTTTTGCATAATATGATATTAAAATTTGAGGTGATTAGTTACCTCTGAGTCTTTCGGCTTCCACATAGTGAGCTTTGAGCCAAAGTGCTTGCAGTTTCGCATGATTGTGCGTGCTGAAGGTGTGACTCTCAAGGATACGATAGAGCTCCTTGAAGTTGCCGCGATGGAAGGCAACGATTGCTTTGGCTTTCAGCACCGATTCGTTGTTGTGGAGTTTGTCGCACGCTGGCAACGACCAGAGGAATCTGCCCAACCTTTCTACATTCCCTGCTTGCTGTAGAACCTGCAAATAAAAACATAACCTATTAAATTCTCATGGAAGCAAAAACGATGATAAACCGTTGTAAATTAAGATGTAACCCGTCGATAAATCATCATCGGAAGCACTTTTGGTACCTTCGTAGTTTATTTTATGAACTTGTTGTCGGACACACAATGAAACACCGAATTTTATGCTTCAATAAAAAGATAATGCTTACATGACAATAAAGTACATTTTAGTGTATATTTGGTTGCCTACATCACCAATATTTGTATTGAGGTTATTATGATTTGAATTTTTGGTGAAAATCCACTGCGTTTATTTGTGCCAAAGTCGTTTAACGTCTGCAAGGCGACGTGAGGAATACGTAATAACGTGGCGTCGTAACATAATCTTCGTTAATTCCACGTATCGCTTACATTGCGCCTTCGCGCTCGAAACAAAGGTGTCACAGTGTCGAATCGAATTAATTTTAATTTTAAATCATAATTTCCAACGCCACACGCGCTCGGACGCGCGACTTCAGGCATGAATAAAGTGTAATTCTGCTAAGTTGGCGGTTTTCGTGTGGAGGCGAAACGCTCCATTCATAAAAACGTATTTTGTGTGGCGAACGTGCAGCGACGCCAAGAGGACGTGCAGATAATGTGAAGAACGTGTCAGAATTGGAGGTTCTTGCAATCGCAATCATCATAAATTCATAAGCATTATAATAATAGTGCTTTTGTTGTGATGATATCTAAACAAGCCACACATGATACAATTTAATCAATTTTAGGAATTGTATTTCTAAACTAGACAATTTTTGATTATTCTTTTAGTTTCAGTTAGTTAAATTTAAAATATATAAATTAATTAGTTGGGTTTGGTTGTTTTTTGTTGCAAGATCAACGTCTGAAGCTTTTTTTCACTTTTCATAGCCTGAACATTTCGAAAACATCGTATGTGAGCATTCGTTCCCTTCGCATGAAAATAATGAATAAGAAAAACATCATAAACGTATCGGGTTACAACGCGCACACACAACTACTGGGCGGCGTCGTTCACTTGTTTTTCTTTTCTGTTATTTTTCTAAAACGAGCATCACGACACAACTCAAAAGTTCTGACGTTTGGAAATGTGTAACGCGCAGACTACGAAACTGCACCGTGAAGAAGTGGGAAACCGTGGGCCAAACAGAAGTCACCCGTCGCAATATTACGAACTGAAATGAACTGAACAAGTGCAGATGAAGAAATATATCGAAGAATTCTTTGTATGGCAACCAGCGGGATGCAAACACATGTTTTGGAAGCACCGAAACGTCTAAACTGGTATTTGTAAGACGTAATGACATGTTCATTACACATGTTTGTTTAACACAGACGAAACTATTTATTAAATAAAAATCAACCTAAGTTTTGTCTTCGCTAGGCAACCCAACGTACATTGTTGTATATGTGGTATATGAAATAAATCGTTTCTGGCAATCAAAAGTGACGAACATCGCCGATGCGTTTTATGCAGTTGATGTGTTTTTCGCAATGATGCGCACCCGTTTGGCTCGTATCCAAAATCATCACACGTTACATTCATCCGAAAACGCAGCGAAAACGCAAAACAAGCGAGTAATTTGTGTGAATTTGCGAACTGACTGCGTATTTTGATAATCTCCAATTCATTATGAAAACATCCATCGAAATTAAATCTCTAACTTAATTGACCCAAACTACAACTCACACTGACTCATTTGTAATAATAAAAACATGAAAATATCATGACAGCAAGTGATCGCATGCCAAAACTAATTGCAAGTAAAAACAGTTTAGATAAATGTTCTTATTTCGTAACATAATTTATAAATTTGACAATTTCTCGCAGAGAATAATTCAATGGTTCTAAACGCATTTCAGAGGATGAATTATGAACAAGTTGGCAAGGTTTAATTACATTTCAGGAGGTAAAACTCCGTGCCAGATTCCTGCTTGCGTTGTGAGACAAAAATATTTCTGTGATTGACAGTTGAATTATGAATTTTGCCAAAATTAAAACGAATTATATAATAACTAGATTTTGCTCCCGTAGATTAGGGTAAAAAGTAATTAATTTTCGATTTCTTGAACTTATTATGTGCTAAATTTACCGATAACATTCTAAATTACAATTTTGATTGATTTTGTGGGATCGGTGTGTAAGTTATAATTGATGAGTGTTAAAAGACACGATGTTTAATTATCACGAACAATGTTTATTATAATGTTAAGGTTTACCAACTCTTGAAGAAGTGTAGGGAAGAACTGTAGAGTAAGAAGTACTGTAGTCGTGTTACATAAGAAGTGTGTGCAATAACAGATCTTCCTACACCCTTGTCACTCACCAGCAACCCTTCAGGTTGATGGGTGGTGACAAGAAATTTGGAAGTCAGAAGAAAGCGATAGATTTGATTGGTAGAAGAAAGTGTGTGACATTGAAGAGAGGGAAAGTTGACCATCGGATTTTGGGAATCCGAGCCGGACCATCTGCTACTGACCGCACGCTAGATACAGCGTGCCAAACCGTCCGACTCGGGGATTAGGTTTTTCAAGGGTAATAAAAGTAATTAGGAATTTTGGGAATTTTATACGAAGAATTATGGCATGCAATATAGATGAAGAAAGTTATAGAGTGCATGCAATATAGATGAAGGGAAGAATTATAGTCGCTTAAGTCGTACCGTCACGTAAGTCGTACCTCGGTCTTTTCTCTAACTTGAAGGCACTTTATGCAACTTAAAATGCTGTATTCGGACAGCATGAAATCATACTAGAAGCATATTCTTTAATCAGTTCCCGCCGAATCGGAATTATGAAGTTATGCGCAAAAATAGTTTTGCTCCTCGTGCTCATCCAATTTCTCCTGGAGCTTGAAAGCATTGGTGGTCAGAAAAACACCACTAAATATGTGTTTCATGTTAAATATTGGGTATACATCTATCCATGTATTGTTTTCTACATGGATTTTGTTAAATATTCCTTCTGATATATTGTTTAAGGTTGTTTTAAGCGGGAAGCACATGTTTGCTAACTCGTACCCCTTTGCGTTTTTTAAGTCGTACCTATAGAGCATATGGGACTCAAGGTTTCAGCTGCGCCACGAGGCGGCGCTACGGTTGCGCGCCGAAGATACTTTACTAGCGTGATGAGAATAGGAAGATAGTATGATTCAGTGCCTCAAATGCAAAATTTGGATGCATGACAAATGTGTTGGGGTGTCCAAACGAGTAAAAAATACCTTGCAAATAAATACATTATTATTAAACTAATATATATTCTCATTTTGATATTACTTTGGCATAGGTACGACTTAGGGTATCGATGGTACGACTTAGGGTACCGGTTTGTTAAGTCGTACCGTTTACACATTTTTGTTAAATTGATGTTTTACAAAAATATAAACATTTCTGATTAATTTTTCTCATACTAATTAAAGCTATATTAACTAAAGCAGGTGAATATGTCAAAAAACTGACATTATGTTGCAAAACTTTCAATTTAGGGCCAATTGTATTTTAGGGTACGACTTGGCCAACCTTCCCTATATAAACATAGTAATTACAAATGTATATAAATGTATACATATATATTAAATTAAAATCAAAATTGCACATAATTACACATACAAGAGTATTTTTTACTGTTTTAAATAATCTGTCATTTTTGTCTGCTTTTGTTTTTATTTTATGAATAGAGGACATAGCTATGGTCAAATTATCATTTGCAATATTGCTGTGCATAGTAACAAACACAAGAAACACAAGACACAAATAGTTAAACACAAACAATAAATTCACCTCCGGCAGCGTGACGAGTTGTGAGAAGATAAGTAGGAACTGTTCTTAGATTTCAAAGTTGTGAAAATCGGTCATGTTATATGGTCTGCTAGAACAGGATTGGTTAAGATTTAATTGGTTTATGAGGGTGAAAAACAGACCAGAAGGTTAGTTTGGAAAATACGGATTAAGTCGTGGACAAGGTACTGCTGCCCGAATGCTTATATTTATTATTTAAGCATTTGGTCTTTCCGATAGTAAATACATAAAAGTAATTTGACAATCATAAAAGAAATGTAGCAATAAATATAAAAAGTTCGCCACGTGTCGATCGTCGTCGGGAATCAACGAGCATGACCGGAGGTGTAAAGAATCATGTTGGTCATTATAACCGGACATAATCTATTAAAAATGGGTCATAATAAGCGACATGTCACTGTAAGCGAAGTCATTATATCCGACTTTTTTAAAAAGAATTTTATATGAAAACCAAACTTCGTTGTGTAGTTACGTCATAATAACCGGTTGGTCAATATAAGCGGAGTCATACTAAACGGATTCTACTGTATAGAAAAAGCGTTGGGTAAAGATCCCCACAATTTCATTGTCAATATATCACTGTACAAGCTTTTATTCCTTATTTTACACCCTGCCAGTTATATTTTTGCATAAAAAGTAGCCCACATGCGTTTCGTTACTCCAAAACATCTCTATTCCTAAATTTATTTTGAAATTATTTTTAATTTGGTTGAGAAATTTAATTTTTGCGCGCGAAAGACGCAAACAAACAAATTCACATTTCAATTTATTTATAATTGGTTAGGTAAAATGTACTTAGACATGACTAATGCAGTAGCAAAATATTTAACATTATCCAATTGTCATGTACCTCATTAATCGTGGGAAAAGTATGTGATAAGGTGTATATTTTGCCTGATCCCGTGAGTGAAAATACATATTCGAATTTCTAAACATCGCAAATTACTTGCGTGCTCAACACGCATGTTTGTTTTGCCTCGCGCTTTTAAATAATGCGCGTGTTTATTCAATTTTCCACCGACGCGTATTTACATAAAATTATCCAACAAACACGAGTGGGTAACCGGGTAACGCTATACTTTATAAAATGAAAACGAAATCATTACGCCCATCAACGTATTTAAAAACAAACTAAAAGGCCCAAAAACAACAGAAAAAAATACTAAAAAGAAAATGGCCGTGCAATAATATGATTATCAGGTGTTATTCGGGAATAACTCCAAAAATATTTGTTAGAAAATTAAAATTCTTTCAAATACTTATTGTAGGCTAAATATAAAATCGACATAGATAGAAATTTGATAAGATAATTACTTATATGTTAGGATACATGTAATTTAAGTTTACATTTGTTTAAAAAATATTCATTTTATATAAATTTCGGTAAAATATCGAACAAATAATTACATTATTTATGAGATTGTTTAAATACATTTAGAATTTACTACGTATGTAATAAATATCAAAAGAAATCAATTATTAAAAAATTAATCGCTTTTAGATTTATTACTTATAACTATAAACATTCAACAAATTTCTCTGTGTTGTTGATAAATTGGCACCACCCAAAGAATTCATAAATAAAACAAACACAATTGATTACACAGAAAGAAAAAACAAAATTTGTTTATAAATTTTTGTCCTCCCATCAATCTAGCAATAACAAATGATAAATTTGTTTAAAATTTTAGCATTAATCTATGTCCAATGCCTCAAGTAAGATAACTTGTTAACAAACGCACAAACAGGCTTATTATAAACAACTCCACAATTCAAAGATGGAAACAATTCAATTGTTATTTAAACATATTCACATTCCTCAAATCAGACAAATCAAAGTACCTAAACCCTGTCAACACGGAATTGAGCATTGGTAAACTATATTGTGAATGTTTATAAAATACCATCTTAGCCGTGACTCATAAGGAATAAAAGTTTAAAAAAACAATCGTGTATAATCAGCAAAATCGGCGCGGTGTGTTTTTTGTTTGATGTTTTTGGCCGTTACGAGTTTATTTGGTGTATTTCCTGTGTTTAAATGTATCAAATTCAATGTTGTATGTAAGATGCAGGAGAAATGAGTCATCTAAACAGTTCGATATGTTTATTATCAATTTTTTCGTGTCCGAGTTTAAACAAGCAGAATATAAGTCATTTATTATGAATATGACACGCAAATTACTTAAAATCGCTTATATTTTCGATAATATAAGAAATTTTTGCTTGAAACTTATTCCAAAGATGTTTAAAATCAAAATATGTAATTGTTTAGGGAATATTTAGTACTCAAGTTAGTTTATTATGAAAATAAAACAAAAAATGACTCAAAATTACTCAATGGAATTAATAGTTTCGGAAAAACATGATTTTTGCTTCAATAAGTTCGAAAAAAAAAGCAATAAAAAACAAAATACGTAACAAAACAGGAAATATTTGCTAATTTTATTAAATGATCTCCCGACGGATCACTCAATCAAGTTAAATTATCTATAATTTCCCGCGATAAAGCATCCTAACCTCTAATTATGATGCAATGTTTATAAAAACAAGTCTTTATGCAATTTTTGTTAATTAATTAATGCTTACGAAGTTTAATAACAAATTAATCAATGAATTTTCTTCATTTTTAAAATAGAAATTTTAACTCCTTACCTCGCAAACACACGCGACTTGTTCCTGTGTAAATCCAAAACTGGGAAGTGGACTGTGTCTCGGCGGTGGGCTGTACGGCGGCGTCGCACCCGTCCCGGGATTCGTGAACCCCAACCCTGCCGACAGCATGTTCCAATTGTAATCCACCACTGTCGCGAATTACCCTTCTTCTCCTCAATGAAACCGCCGCCTAAACATGCGACACAACCGGAAACCAAATAAAAACCACTCTTGTTGTTTTGTTATCCAAAATGGCGCACAATTACCAAACAATACACAATAATATCCCGATTGTTCGATTAATTATAATCCGCACATTTTCATCCGGTCGCGCTGACCGTAGCCCGTTGCCCGAAACGCACGACGTCTGCGACTTGACTAAAAGCTCAACTCAACTCCACTCCAACTCCGTCCGCACCGTGCTTAGTGAGCTGAGCCACGAGAACTGGTCAGAGATGCAATCGGTGTGTGTTTGCCGGTGCTGGGAGAGTGAGTGGACCACACCAGCAAGCCCCACACACACACGGCGTGTATGCTAAAGATAGAACCGACCGAGTAGTTAAGTTTTTCCTGAGTCTCTTGAGTCTTTACCGTTCGCACCGTTCGCGGTTCGAATTGGATCTGCACGCGGTCGTAGAGCGCCGGTAACTTTATCGGAGGGAGCCGCCGATGGATAGACGACGCGCGGACGAATCGTTGGGCGGGTATCGAGCAGCTCAGAGGCGGGTATCACACCAAGCAGGGAGCTGCGGATTGGTCGCGCTGTGTGCGCTGTCGGCTGGAAACGCAACGAGGTCTTTCGATTCAATTTATTGCCCACAATCTACAATTGCACGAGAGTGAGCGTGTGTTGCTGGGGAGTTTGGGGAGGATGGATAAACGGATAACTGGGTATTATTTGTGGTTATGACAGCTTTAGACTATTATAACAAATAGCAATAGGTAATAGAAAGACAGATAAATGTAATTTAAATAATTTTATCTAATTTTTGCAAAAATTAACGTTTTTAATACGAAAATAGAATTATTGGGTTTTCATCATCCAGAAACAAAGGTTTTTTGGTCAATTTTTAATTGTTGTGACCTTAAACAAAGTATTTTTGTATTCGTAGCAAAATTTATACTCCTATAAATCTTTTTCTGTATAAATGCTGACATGCTTCATAAATTTCCAACTTCCTTCTCCTATTTTTCCACTAATTTCCTATATTCTTCAAATTTCGACCTCTGCGCGCTCAAATTGGTTCAGATGGCATGTGTGCTCATTCCGGGAAGATAAACGACTTGCTAACTAGAGCATTGTCAAGGGATAATAAGTCAACAATGAGAGGACAAGAGGAGGCGACCCAGCGCACTGTTGGCAGCCGTGAACGCCCAGTAGTCAGGGTCTCAGCCCCCTCGAAATGAGCTAACTACTGAAGTGATGAGCTGGCTGCTTCAACTAAACGGTTATTGCTTTCCGTTTTGTTTTGTTCCGATCGGCCCCAATTCAAGCTCCTATATTCTACCGAACAACTTCAATAAGTTACAAATTGAATTTTTGGAAAACGATCAATTTAACGATCCTGGGAAAAATTGTATTTTTGTGGGCTTATTGTTTGTATTATATGAATAATTTTAGGGTAAAAAGTGCAAAATCATCAAGTTTACTCTGATAAAAGTAAAAAGTTTGAAATTTGTTTGATTTAGGTACAGTTGTTTTTGTTTAAATTGTTAGAATTTGCATGCCATGACCTGCTTCAATGGACTCCAAGAGTCCAGTTGATGAGATACGCACATGTTTCCAGAGAATACCTGCATGCTACCCATGAAACATCCGGTCCGGTTTGCGGCTGTTTACAGCCCGAATACTAAAGTATTGAATATCCGGATGGGAGACGACCACTGTCACGGCCATGGCGTATCCGATTTCCCATTTTGCAACCTATCCCAATATTCTGGTACGCCAATAAACTAATTATTGGTGTGTGGGTGTTAGGGAAATCAATATCTACCAAAATAACTTCAATAATAGATACTGTTACATAAATTAATCATTTCTGCTTCAATTTTACTCTTTCACTGTTCTTAAAACATTTCTCAGGCAATTGCAAGATCTTTTAAGTTTTCAAACAGGAAGCAAACAAAGCCTTAGAAGTTCCAGTCTACAAAACTATATGTTTTATATCTCATCTTTAGCTTCTTCAACACTTAGAATGTAGTCCATCACTGTTTAAATATCTTGCTTCATCATAGGTGAGCCTGAAGAGAAAAAACAGTATCGTCAGCTCTATATTTTATTGTAAGCGATGATAATGTTATCCTCATCCCATCTTATCATCGGAGATCATCGCCCATCTGAAAGCAGTTACTGACAAACCCTGTCAGGGGTTCAAACCGTTTGAAACATTCAAACACTACGAGGTCTGGGCGTAGGGATCAAAACAGAAAGTGAAAAAAAAATAATGAAATACATATTTGAAACGGTAGCATGAACATCATCGTTCCAGTAGAGAGGGTTTTGGGTGATCAGATAAGTATTATAAGCATTGTAAACCAAAGGGTTGATAAGAAAATATTTCAAAATTGCTAAATTCACACCTTTAACGTATTTGCTAGTAAAATTTTAAAAATTTTATATTGATGTTATGTTTACCCTTTACTTTGATCAAAATCTTTTTCAAAAATATTTGAAAATTTATTTCCCAAACATCCTGATTCAAATTTTTAAAACCTAGACATGTAAATGACATATGCATTATTATCAATTTAAATTTTTCAAAATATTTCTCACATAGTCAAAATAATTTGTGGGTAAACGCAAAACCTTTCAAAGCTTCCGTGCGGCCGTGTCTATCCGCTTGTCCGCTTGTTATTGACTCCATTCAGACGTCAAGTGATCCATGGCGATTATAAAACGCCGGAAAATAGGATGAAGAACCGTCGCTTTGCTTTATTTGGGCGCGATTAAAAGGAAACCGCATTGTGCCGCTGAAGAATGAGCGTGCACTCGGAAATGCACCTTTAAATAGCACCGAAACTAACCTACAATAAGACATACACGAGAACAAGTGAGAGGGGACGAGTGTGAGATAATGAAGACTTGAAGACCTGCACTTGAGAGGTGCTTACACTGCTTACCCTCCATTCAAGTACCTACAGAGATATGAAGAATAGAAAAGAACGTGAACATCTACATTATCAGAATTTAAAGAGGACTAGAAGAGGGTAACGAGACAAGTTGGATGTTGATTGTTCGCGAATTTACGAATATCGAACATTAAGCACACAATACACTAAAATTGAATTTGTATTGTTATATTATTGAATATATTTTGGAAGAATATTGACAAATTTTGAGAATAATACCAACGAATGGGTAAAGTTTACTTTACAGTTGAAATTCTCACGTTTTTTATAACGTTACTAGATTTTGCGCGCGACTTTGTCTCGGTAGTATTTAATAAAAATATAATTCGTTTTTACTCTCTTGCTCTAGACATAGTACCTACCTATGTGTCAATTCTATCAAGAAGATTCGCAATTTTATTTTAAAGAAATTAATTATATAAAGCATTGCTAATAATGCACTTCAGCGCGCCATCTATTTAATTCAACTATTTAACTATAACTATGATTGAATCTCAATGCCAACTTTTATCCTGTAGAAAAGGGCTGTCTTTAGGGTTTTCCCGGCAATTAATCGAATTTTTAATCATTTTTATATCATAAATTTCCAACAAAATATTCAGTACCTATACCTATCTCCTTTCCGAGCTACCTTAATATCAATACGAAATTAACTTCAGATAATAATTAATTTTAGTGAATAGGTGAATAGGACTAGATGGAATATAGTTTAATTTTATGAGATTAGTAAAATTCCAGGAAATTGATAGCTAGGTAAGTAATTAATAATAATTAATATAATATTAACTGTAAAATACTATTAATTATCCTGTACGTTGTTTTATTATCGGAAAATGTTCACTCGTCCATTACAAGCTGCTAATTATAATTTTCTACAAAATTTTCCTTTCATAACCAACGTCGTAACTTATAATAACAACTTATTTTCTTACTGTATAAAGAAAAAAACGCTTATAAAATGTAATATATCGTATGATTCGCATGGCGTCTCTCAAGCCATAATAAAACCACGAGTAGAAAATTATTACTCGACACGGCCGAGTGCCGTCCACCGTCCAGAGTCAACCATCCGCCATGTTGTCGACGCCGTTGTCGGCCATGACTGGACTTTTCACTATATTTCTTTTTATTACTTGCCAACTTATGAGACCTCCTCTCGCAGGAAGAACTAGACACTTGGCGTATTTCTGCACTTCTTGCTAAGAGGAAGCAAGCGGACCATGAAGCAACACGCTGTCACAAGGCATGGAATTATTACGGAATCGCAGAAATACGCTGCCCACCCTCGGCGTGCGAAATCAAACAAATCAAGCTCCGAGAATCGCGCGCGCAGCTGGATTGCTATGATTAATTATTGCATGGTGTCTTGAGCATGATAATAACGATAATTGTTTTCTAGTATAATTTATTTTTGGTAATTTTTATTAAGTAACAAAATCATAAAAATAACAGAAATGATTTTTTTTATACAAATAATATAAAAATGAATCGCAAAACCGGTTTGTAAGCGCATAATTCAACAACGCCTACACCAATTTGACCAATTTTTCTTTTAAATGTTCGTTAAAGTCCAAGGATGGTTTTTACGGTGAGAAAAATTTGAATAATTGCCGGGAAAACCCTAAAGACAGCCCTTTTCTATAGGATAAAAGTTTGCATTGAGATTCAATCATAGTTATAGTAAAATAGTTGAATCCGAGATGGCGCGCTGAAGTGCATTATTAGCCATTCTTTATGTAATTAATTTATTTAAAACAAAATTGCGAATCTTATTGATAGAATTGACACATACTATGTCTAGAACAAGAGAGTAAAAACGAATTACATTTTTATTAAACACTACCAGGACGAAGTCGCGGGCAAACGCCAGTTCCAAAACATAATTATGTATACATTGTCAATTTATTGTCAATCAAAAAATCCATCCGGTCTCCAGCAGTGTATGAATACTCGTCAATTTGTATCAATAACATATCAATAAAACCACATTCATCGCGTTCTTCCGCCGTCACGCTTATAATACATTTTGAAATGCCACCCATCGCTTCTGCGAGTCATCGAAAACCACCCGTAGTTAAGTATTCATCCATAGCCACTCTATAACCACCCCACAACCACGCCATTTAGCAATAGTTTTCAAATCTTGGCGCAGTCATTGTATGAAGTTCAAGTTGAAGTCGTACTCGGGGTGGTATCGGCGGGGCGAGTTAATCATTACAAGCGTTTTCCTTCCTTCCTATCGCTCACAATCGCTTCCTATGCATTCACAGCTCGCAATTACTTACAATGCAGTGGAAGGACCCCTTGGGAGTTCGGGGCTTGACACCAACTTGTACCATAATGCACCACAATACACAACTGTACAATTATAATTACCAAACGAAGTGGGAATTTATTTCAAACTTTTTAAGTGTCATTATTAACACAAAATTATAAAAAAAGTAAAAAAAAAAATTTAAAATTAGTAAAATTTGACTTTAAAACAAAGATTTAATTAATTTTTATTGGTTTAAC